AACTTTGAATGGTCACTAAATGACCAGTTATAAGTTGAGGGCTATCTGTATTAGCTTATCAAATATGGTATGCAAACTAAAAGCAGATTCATTTTGTTCATGACTAGAAATACTTAGTTTTTCATGCACATCCCTTTACTTTTTCTTTTCAACTCACAGTTGCATACAGTGAGGGAAAAAATTATTTGATTCCCTACTGATTTGTATGTTTTGCCACTGACAAAGAAATGATCCGTCTATAATTTCAATGGTAGATTTATGTTAACAGTGAGAGACAGAATAACAACAAAAAAATCCAGAAAAACGCATTTCAAAATTAAATTAATTTGCATTTTGATGAATGAAATAAATATTTGACCTCTTCGCAAAACATGACTTAGTACTTGGTGGCAAAACCCTTCTTGGCAATCACAGAGGTCAGATGTTTCTTGTAGTTGGCCACCAGGTCTGCACACATCTCAGGAGGGATTTTGTCCCACTCCTCTTTGCAGATCCTCTCCAAGTCATTAAGGTTTCGAGGCTGATGTTTGGCAGCTCGAACTTTCAGGTTCCTCCACAGATTTTATATTGGATTAAGGTCTGGAGACTGGCTAGGCCACAACAGGACCTTAATGTGCTTCTTCTTGAGCCACTTCTTTGTTGCCTTGGCTGTGTGTTTTGGTTCACTGCCATGCTGGAATACCCATCCACGACCCATTTTCAATGCCCGGCTGAGGGAAGGAGGTTCTCACCCAAGATTTGATGGTACATGGCCTCTTCCATCATCCCTTTGATGCAGTGAAGTCCTGCCCCATTAGCAGAAACACCACCTCAAAGCATGTTTCCACCTCCATATCTGACGGTGGGGATGGTGTTCTTGGATTCATAGGCAGCATTCCTCCTCCAAACAAGGCAAGTTGAGTTGATGCCAAAGAGCTCGATTTTGGTGTCATCTGACCACAACACTTTCATCCAGTTCTCCTCTGAATGATTCAGGTGTTTATTTGCAAACTTCAGACAGGCCTATACACATGCTTTCTTGAGCAGGGGCACCTTGCAGGTGCTGCAAGATTTCAGTCCTTCATGGCGTAGTGTGTTATCAATAGTTTTCTTGGTGACTATGGTCCCAGCTGCCTTGAGATCATTGACAAGATCCTCCTATGTAGTTCTGGGCTGATCCCTCACCATTCTCACGATCACTGAAATTCCACGAGATGAGATCTTGCATGGAGCCCCAGACTGAGATTGACAGTTATTTTGTGTTTCTTCCATTTGTGAATAATTGCACCAACTGTTGTCACCCTCTCACCAAACCTGCTTGGTGATAGTCTTGTAGCCCATTCCAGTCTGTGCAGTTCTACAATCTTGTCCCTGACCTCCTTGGACAGCTTTAAGAGAGTGCTCGGACTTCCGGTGGATTTTGCGTGCGTGATGGCGGCTACTTTGTAGCCGTCCTCCTGGGTAAGTGTAAGAACCGCTATGAACAGCAGATATCAGCTGTTCAGCGGTTCAAAATCCCCCTCCCGGGCAAAGGGGGGGGGTAGAGAGTGTCTGAATAGTGGTAGAGCCTCTTTCGCACCCCCCAAGTTTTTTTTTTTGGGGGGGTGAAAGGAGTGCTCCCACGGAGTTCAGACTTGTCTCCGCTTCCCAGCTGTTTTTGTCCTCAGGGACAAAACGAGCCGCCGCAAACACCTCCGTGCTTAAAGAGAACTGGTGAGTTTTTTTTTTTAAATGGACAGAGCTGAGTAGAGGATTTAGTTTTTGCTTTCTTTGACTTATTTGGATTTTAAGTTTTAAGATTTGTTTCTATTTTTATTCTCTCTTTTTATTTTTTTTCTTTGTTGAAAGGGAAAGTAAAATGGCGATCGGCAAACTCCTCGGTGTTTTTTTTTCTGGAAGTTAGAATGCTGACCGGCAGGCTTTTTGGTGTTTTTCTTTCTTTCCTTTCCCTTTCTCTTTTTATTTCCTTATGATTGGAATGGTTGTTTTTGGTATCTCTAAGTATTTTTTTTGGAACGGACTTTTTTTATTTAATTATTTTTTTTTCCCCTTCTCCCTTTTTTTTCCTTTGAACTCCCCCTTTTTTTTTTATTGTAATGACCCTTTTTTGAAGGACTTTTTTTCTGTTTAATTTTTTGTAATTTTTAAGAAGGAGTAAAACTTTTTTTTAATTCTTTTTCTCTTCTTTTTTTTCCCTTTTTTCTTTTTATTATAATGACCTTCTTTGGAGGGAGTTATATTTTTGAAGGAATTTTTATAATTGCTTAAGAAGGACTAAAGGTTTTTCTTTAAGATGGCTCCAAAGCGTCCAGGGATTTCTACAGTTTCTAAATCAACAGTTTCACCCTCTTCTGGGGGTCAGCTAATAACTATGAAGGACTTGCAAGACATGATGGGAGATGTTATAATTCAAATTAGGGCAGAAATGAAAAAGATTTTAGAGGAAAACAATAAGATCTTGAGACAAGATTTTGTTTTGGCTTTAGAAGGTGTTGCTTCTGTTCTTGAAAAGGTGAACTCCCATGTGGAAGAGGTAGCTGAAAAAGTGGACATAATGGAGGGGAAAATTGAAAGTATGGAAAAAGAAATGGAAAATGAGATTCTTATGCTTCAATATGGACAAATGGAATATGCCTTAAGAATTAGAGGCCTGGGAGAGTCTTTGCAAGGAGATCTGAAGGAGATGGTTGCAAAGGACTTTGCATTGATTTTGAATAAAGAAAAAGAGGGAATACTTAATGAAATTGAAAAATTATTTAGGGTTAACTCTGTGGTGGCAGCACAGAAGAATCTGCCAAGAGATGTGGTAATTTACTTTGGTAAAAGATCTTTACGCAATGAAATTGTGCAAGCCTATTATAAGAAGAGATTTCAAATTGCTTCACAAGATGTTATAATTTTTAAAGAGATCCCATCTAAAATTTTAAGAAGAAGAAAGGAGTTTGCTTTTTTAGCAAATGAACTTAAAAAGAGAAAAATTTCATTCAGATGGGATGTTCCGATTGGAATGGTGGTGAATTACCTGGGGACATGTTATAGACTTAATACTGTTTCTCAAGCAAAAGATTTTTATACTTCGGTCCTGGGGGTATGTGCATCGCCATCAATTAAGTTTAAAGCTTTGGAAGAAAAGAATGTAGAATCACAGTTTGAAGAGCCTATATTTATGAAAACTGGAGAATCTTTGTGTGAGAGGCCTCAACAAGTCCAGGTTGAGGAGCAGAAGACAACTTGTGTAGTATATAATCCCAAAGAAAAGCAGCAACAGAAGAAGGTTAAGGAAGTTTCATATTTAGTGGTTTCTGAATCTCTGGGAGATGTTAGACCTACAAAGTCTTTGGAGCAATCTTTAAGGGTGGAATTGTTGCCTGAAATGGAAACTGGGAAATCTCAGTCTGAGGGGCATCAACAAGAGAGGAACGGGCAGAGGATAACTTGTACAACTTACAATTGTAAAGATCAATACAAGGAGGAATTTAAGGAACCCTTATTGGCTTCGGAGTCGATGGGAGATTCAGGAATTTTGGAGCAGTCTCCTAAGGCAGAACTTGCAGCATTTCTTACGAGTTTGATACAAGAATGGAGAAGGGAAATGGAAGAATGGAAGAATGGAGAATGGAAAAAACTGGAATGTGAATAATTAATAATACTAATATAATTGAGATTGATAAGGATGTAGTTTTTTACGGATGGAATTAGTTATTGGTGAAGATTGAAATGTTTAATGTGTTTATTAACTTTGTTGTTTTAAGTTTTGAACCTTTAATGATAATATTGTTTAAATTTGTGTTTTGAAGGGATTATAATTTGCTTATTTTAGTGAGTGGATTCTAATATTTTAAATTTTAAAAATTTGTGGTTTTGGAGGGAGTTTATATAGAGTGATGATTGTATTTAGATTTGTTTAGGATTTAAAAGTGTTTTTAGTTTTTAAATATTATTATTAATATTTTTAAGACAAAATAATTTGTTTAATTAAATGTGCTTAGATTTGTTTAGGACTTATAGGTTTTTTAAGTTTTTTGTTTTTTTTTTTTTTCTTTTTGGATAGGAGAGAAGATTATGAAGATTGAAGGAAATATGTACTTACTTTAAGTTCTTTAAGAGTATTTAGCTTTAATGGTATAACAAAGATTTGTATGTTTATTTTTTCGTTTTAGGATAAAGAAAGAGGGAGAAATTAGATTTTATATTATAGATATAGATATTCAAAGAAAGTAATGTTTAAATTTGTGTTTTTGGAGGGAGCTTATATAGAATGATGATTGTATTTAAATTTGTTTAGGTTTTAAAAGTGTTTTAAGTTTTTTTTTTTTTTTAATTAAGCCTGTACTCAGCTCTGGGAAGTCCAGGGGAGGGTTTGGGAGGTTGGGAAGGGGGGGGGGGTGAGGTAGGGGGGGGTATGGGAAGGGGATTTGTTTTTGTAAAATGTAAAAATTTTCAATAAAAAAAAAAAAAAGAGAGTGCTCCTAATCTCAGCTCGTTATCTGTATAAAAGACACCTGGGAGCCAGAAATCTTGCTGATTGATAGGGGATCAAATAGTTATTTCACTCATTAAAATGCAAATCAATTTATAACTTTTTTGAAATGCGTTTTTCTGGATGTTTTTGTTGTTATTCTGTCTCTCACTGTTAAAATAAACCTACCATTAAAATTATAGACTGACCATTTCTTTGACAGTGGGCAAACATACAAAATCAGTAGAGGATCAAATATTTTTTCCCCTCACTATATTTAATTACCTTCATACTGTAGCCCTGAACTGAAACTCTTCTACAATAAAAACTTCACAGAAAGTGTAGTCTGTGTTATTAATCATTTTAATAAATGATGCTTGAAAATTCCAACACACATATTAGCATTTATTTTGGCATTTATATACATATATATGTATAGACACATATTTAAAGTTGTCAGCTTTGATGGAGAAATTGCTGGACTTCTGAAGTTTCCTTGCTTTGTAAAGCTTAAACACTTTGTTCTTTGTTGCTTCACTCAATAGGCTTTTCATGTCATGTTGCAGATGGAATAATTCAACTTAAAAGATGTTTCTTCCCAAGAAACTGAACCTTTCTATCAAAAGCAGTGGATCGAATTGGAGAATTAGCTTCATAAAAAGGATTCATTGCAAACTGAAGAAAGAAAGAATTAAGTGAGAACAGTTTAAGAATCAACTTGTCTGAAGATCTATATTGAAGCACTTGGTCTGTGCTAATGTTCTGGAAATTTATAGCAATCTACTATTAATGATTGATTCTGGTTTTAGATGGAAAAATAGACACATAATGCCTTGCTTCTTCTCCAGGAAGACTTATTTCTATTTCTGCAATGGAGAATTTCAAAGAATATTGATCTACGTTAATTATCTAATCTATCATAGTGATTTTAGATGCTGGAACAATTTTGAAAGAAATGCATTCTATTTCCATCCCGCTCACAGATGTATGCAAAAACTGCTGTTCTGGAAACAGAATATTCCAGAGAATTCCTCAACTCTCTTCCTACCCTGTGACCAGATGAACATATTATAGAGGAGGAATAGAACATTACTGAATTCACTAGAACATTGTTTCAGAACAGCAGGTTTTATACAGCTAACACAGCAGTTTAATGTATCTGTCATGCAAGTATGCTAGGCCTTCACTGCCTATCAATGTATAAGCAAGTATCACTGCAGTTGTTAAGTTAGTAATCCAGTTGTTAAATGAATCTGAATTCCCCACTGACTTTGCTTGTCAGAAGGTTGCAAAAGGTGATCACATGACCTTGGGACACAGCAAATCATAAATATGAACCAGTTGCCAAGCATCTGAATTTTGATCACATGATCATGTGGATGCTGCAAAGGCTGAACTGTGAAAAATGGTCATAAGTTACCTTTTTCAATGCTGTTGTAACTTTGAATGGTCACTGAATGAACTGTTGTAAGTTGAGAACTATTTGTAGGCTATTTCCTAAGCCAAATTATCATTTAATACATAATTCATTGTATGATAGATAACATTGATATAGCTTTTACCTTTATATACAGATCATAGACATCACTAAAGAAGTTTTTGATTCCATCTTCTTGTCTTATATCATGAAGCATTATAAATCTCATATGTAGAAAAAGTTAAGAACACAAATTTATTTGTAAGGATTTACATGCCACACAATTTAAATCCTGTATAAAAAAAGGCAGCAAAGCAAAGTATATAAAAAAACAACCTTTTGAATAGAATATATTTTCCAAGCCAAATATATGCGAAAATTTGAAGTGGACACATGCAAATATATTCCAAGGGAGAACTCCATAAGCCAGTGTTTCTCAAATATGGCAACTTTAAGATGGATGGACAACTTCTAGGAATACTGGTAAGTCCACCCATCTTAAAATTGCCATATTTGAGAAACACTGCCTTAAGCTATGACAGCTGGGAAAAATGACCCTAGAATACTTCACTCAGTGTCATATTTAAGACTCAGACTAAGAAGGGTATGGAGAAGGATACAACCAAGTATCCAGGTGCTAGACTATAGCATCTTTTAAGTTTCTTTGAAATCCCATTCTTAGCAAATGAGTGCAGCCTTTCCAATTAGGTTTTCATTTGTTTTAGAAACTACATTTCTTTATATAGATGACACTTACAAGTTTTTGTTTAATATCTGTAACTTATAAAAAACAAGTTTTTCAGAAACTATTCTTTGATTCATGACCACAAAACTGACTTTTTTTGCCCAGGATTTTGCTGTTTTTTGCTTTATTAATTTTTGCTCTATTTATGGAGATAGTTCCCTGCTTTTAATTGTATCGATTTAAATCAATATATTTTTTACAGATATAAAGAAAGCAATAGATGCTATAAATAATAGAATGACTATCTGAGATTGAAATACTTATTACTGAAAACACATAGGCTAAAAGAGGAAAAAGAAGAAAAAAGAGATAATCATAGAAAAGGTAAGTCTGTAGATATATTTTGTTGAACAAGTAGTCTTCGAGAAACCACCAGTAACAATCTTTTGAACTTGACACCCCTTCCTAAAAGCTACATACAATCCTATTTAAACTTATGGCAGCTGTAGTATCCCACAGGAATTCATCCTTACATTCAATACATGTCATTTGCCAAGAGTCCAAAATTTGATCACATGACTATGGTGATGCTCTAGTAGCATGTGAAAAACAATCATGTCACTTTTTCCAGTGCCATTATACTCTCAAATGACTATTACACAAACGGTTGTAAGTCTACCTGTATTCTTCCATGTATTACAGATATAAGCAATTTATGGGAAAGTTAGAATAGATAAGAAATAGGTAAGAAAATTTAGACCCAGAGGGATGAGTTCTAACCAGAAATTAATATTTAAACCTAAACATACAACATTTGATAATTTTTCCCTTAACCCCTGTTCCAAATATGACATCAAGAAGCTACTTTTTATGACCCAATGATCACCCATGATACAAAAACCAATACAAAAGCTCAATTTGTTGCATATAAGCAGAATGGATACCATAATGCCTATGCATTCTATGATTTCATCAATATGGTTACCTAAAATGATCAGAATTTGGATATGTTCACACTATACACCAAACCAGAAACTAGCCATCTAAATTACCCCTGGTGATTAGCTAATTCAATGTGTGATATGAATTTTGGAAATTGAATTTAAAATAGAATTAAGTATATAGTACTATGAAATACTACACCGAGAAGCTATGCAGTGGCAATAGAAAGAAGCATACTAGCAAATTTTCAGGTGACTTTCAGAATGACAGTGCTTCAGCAGAACAAATATAGGTAATCCCCAAGTTACGAACGTTCATTTAATGCTCGTTCAAAGTTACGTGATGAGCAAATCCCAAAATTACAACTATTGCAGCACTACAGCAGTCGTTCACTCTTAAGAGCAATCAACTGCAGAGGCTCTACAATATTCACCCTATTCCTCTCCCCACTCCCCACAACTGCTTCCTCCTCCCTTCCTGCCCTGCCGGACTCACTTACCTTGCAAAATCTGTCTCCTCTCTGCTGCGGCTTCTTTTTCATCGAGGGAGAGGAGAGTCAGTTTGGAAATGCTTTTTGTGCCAGCAATGGAAGCTCCTAGGTGCCGTAATATCGTGCGAGTTCAAACACAAATTCTCTGCAAAAGAGATCATGGCCCCCGGAAGCTTCCATTCTCGGGGGGGGGAAGAAGTGTTTGCTTTGTTTGCATGCCTATGGGGCAAAGCGTGGAATTGGAGTCGGCCAGGCGCAGGAACCAATGCTGTCCGTGGCCCAGGTGCGCTGCTTGCTTACGTGCGCCAGCCTCAGTTTGAGGGCAGGAACAAAGCCTTCAACTGAACGGGGAGGCATCGCAGGGCCAGATCCCTTGCACCCGCATCCAAGTTGGCAGCAGCAGTAGCCACCTCAGCGGCCATGATCCCCTCCCCAGCCAGCCAGCCACCCTGCCCGACCTAGTCCTTGCCTGGCTGGCCGGCTGGCAAATTGTCACTACTCTTCTCCTCATCCTCCTCACTCATTGAGTGGCAGCAGCTTGAGTTTCTCTGCTCCGAGTGAAAGGAAACAGAATCGCAGAGCAGGATTGCTCTCAATAAGGCTGGCGCATGGAGAGCACCTGCGTCTCCTTGAGAGCAATCCTGCTCTGCACCTCCCGTTTCTTCCTTCAGGATGGAGCAGAGAAACTCAAGCTGCTGCCGCTCAAACACTTTTTATCCAAACACAGAGCTGAGAGAGATTGGAAGTTCCATGTGCATGCACTGGGGCACATCAGAAACGGAAAGGAAGGAAAGAAATGCTCTGTGCTTGAAACTCCATGTGACTCAGGTCTCTGTTCGGATGAAAGGTGTTTGAGCGGCAGGCTTGAGTTTGTCTGCTCTGTCTGAGTGAAAGGAAACAGAGGCTTGTTTTCGCAGGATTGCTCTCAATGAGAGCGAGGCATGCTCACTCCAGAGGCATGTTTTCGCCAGGAAGGGGCTTGAGAAATGGCTTTTTCTGGCGAAAATGGAGTCACAGAGTGAGGCACACTTGCAATGGAGGCTTGTTTTTGCAGGATTGCTCTCAATAAGGCCGGTTTGCTCCGGAGGCTTGTTTTCGCAGGATTGCTCTCAATAATTGCTCCATTTTCGCCAGAAAGGGACTTGAGAAATGGCTTTTTCCTGGCAAAAATAAACCTCTGGAGCACACACACCTTGCTCTGTGGCTTTGTTTTCACCAGAAAAAGCCAGTCCCTGCGTTTAGAAGTGCTCCATAGATGCTGAAACACATTTTTATCCCAATGGAGATCTGGCAGAATTGCAAGCTCCGTATGCCTGGAATGGCGCGCTTGAGAAATGAAGCCTTCTGCCAGATCTCTGTTGGGATAAAAAAAATGTTTCAGCACCTATGGAGTGCTTCCAAACACAAGGACTGGCTGATTTTGGAAGCCTCTATAGATACTAAAAGACTTTTTATCCCAATGGAGATCTGGCAGAAACTGCAAGCCCCGTATGCCTGGAATGGGGCACTTGAGAAACGGAGGGCTCCTTTCTGTGCAGTCACACAGAGTGCTTCAAAATGCAGGGAATCCCACCACAGCACAAACACTCCACAATGCCAAATCCTAATTCCCACCCCACCACAGGGAATCCACAATGCCAAATCCTAAACTCCATGCAACCCCAGGGCATCCACAATGCCAAATCCTAACTCCCATCCCACCCCCAGGGTATCCACAATGCCAAATCCTAATCCCCACCTGAGGGCAACCATATTCTTTCACTAATCAACTTTCCAACTCAGTTCTCTGTATGCAGGGCAAAAAAAGAAGTTCGTGGGACTAAAAAAAAAGATCAATCCAACCTTCCAACTTCTTGTGGAAAAAAAAAAGATCTCAAAAAGTTGGAAAGTTTGATTGAACTTTTTTTTACTGGTAGTCCCACAGGCTTCTTTTGTTGCCTTGCATGCGGTGGCGGAGAAGGGAGCTGGAAAGGTGGTTAGTGAAGGGAGGCTTTGCTGAAGCGAGGGGAGATGGGGAAGGGTCTGCTCTGGCTGCCGCTGCCTCACTTAGCCAGCATTAGGGCTTAGAAACTTGTTTTCGCCGGAAAAAGCCATTTCTCAAGCCCCTTCCTGGCGAAAACAAGCCTCTGGAGCGAGCACGCCTCGCTCTCATTGAGAGCAATCCTGCGAAAACAAGCCTCCGGAGCAAGCGAGCGTGCTGCTTCCGGAGGCTTGTTTTCACCAGGAAGCGGCTTGAGAAATGGCTTTTTCCAGCAAAAATGGAGCCACAAAGCGAGGCACTCCATTTCTAAGGGTGCATTTGCATGCGGACGGAGTTCCAGTTTCCTCAAGGTCTCCATCCTGGTGAAAATTGTTCTGGCAGTGGCAGAAATGAGTTGGGGGCAGGAGCAAACACTGCGACAGTTCAGGCTCCCATTCTCTGCAAAAGAGGATCAGTGCCTGAATTTGCACAATATTACGGGCACCCAGGAGTTTCCATCGACTCTCTTCTCCCTCAAAGGCAGAAACCGTGGCAGAGAGGAGACGTATCTTTTCAAGGTAAGTGAATCTGGTGCAGCAGGAAGGGAGGGGGAAGCATAAGGTATCTTAGTAGGTCAGGAATGCGTGCGATAGGTTCGTCACCACTGCTCTATGCGTTTTCAAGTTATGAGTGGAATGGGCAGGCTCCATTACACTCGTAACTCGAGGACTACCTGTTCCACAACCAAGATAGAGTTGACTGATATCTAGAAGTAATAAGAAACACAAAATAAGGTGATTCAGGGTGTTTTTTTTAATGTATTGAACAAAGACTCTGTGCCCAATATGCAATTTCTGAATTTAACCCTTTGGTAAGAGCAGGGCACTATATCATCCATCAAAGGAGGGCTGTTTAAAATAATTAAAGGGCACCAGGGGAAGGACTAATTGAAAACTGCTTCTAAGTAGAGTGAACCTCGCCATAAACACAGCATTTTGTTCGGATATGAAGAGTGAGACTGCTATTCTCACGAGGAGAGATCTTGCATGGAGCCTCAGCCTGAGGGAGATTCAATTGGGATGCTGGCGCCCATGCAAACACGCCTGTGTGACACTGGTGGCAGTATTAGTGCATCCATGCATGTGCAAATGAGTCTGCTAGCCCCTATGTGGTGGCTACCAAGAATGGGGGAGGGGGTTCACCAGCTATTCCCGTGGCCTGGTGGCCAACAGGCCAGGCCTCAGACCATAGGTTGGGGACCCATGTACTAGAAGGAGGGTGGAAGCTTAGCAGATCTCTGTTAAAGAGCATGGGTCCCCAACCCCCCTGGTCTATGGACTAGTACCGAGCCACAGCATGGCATAACTGGTCTGCACCAACAAGCCCCATCCGCAAGATGTAGGCAGCACACAAAACCACACACCCTCCGGTCTACAGAAAAACCTCTCTCCACAGAACTGGTCCCTGGTGCCCAAAATGTTGGGGATCTCTGGTATAGAGGATATTCCATAGGGCAGGGTGCACTTCCTAGCTTCTGCTAGAAGAAAACATTTAAGGGACCCGGTGAAATAGACAGAGGCGATCCTGCAAGTAATGTGGTTCTATGCCATTAAGGGCTTTAAATATTATACTTATTGCTGAATATCTGTATTTTTAACCAGCAAGAGTCACATTTGTGAGATGGGGGTTATTTAAATTGATTTGATAACTACATATTATAAAATGGATGAAAAACCTATAGACCAGTGGTTCTCAACTTGTGGGTCGGGACCCCATTTGGGGTCGAACAACCATTTCACGGGAGTCACCAAACAACGCAGTCCGCCATTTCCCCCCCCCCCTTTCCTTAGCTGTGTACTCCATTTTATTCTATTGGCTTTTGAAAGCCAATAGAATAGACTCTCTTGAATAGAGTCTAATTCTATTGGCTTTCAAAAGCCAATAGGAATTGTCCAGGCTGTCTCCGCCCTGCTGAGCCCGCCAAAAGTCCCATTCTGCAAACGGTGCTGCACCAGTTGAGTAATCTTCAACTTACGACCGGTTGAGTAGTCCTCGACTTACGACCGGTTGGGGGGTCGCAGCATTAAAAAGGTTGAGAACCACTGCTATAGACCTCTATATGCAACTTAAATACAATACTTATTTCAATGGCTATGGCAATGGTAAGACATGTGGAAAATTGTAGTTTGGAAGGCCATAGTCTTTCCATCTCTATTCTAAAATGTTATTCTTATAGCATTGCAACAAAAAAGGATATGGCCTGCAGTAACAAAGGCAGAAACAAACCATTCATTAAATTTATCCACAGTCTTCAAGTACATATTATTTGTTAACCACATGTTTTCATCTACTAGGTCAAGAGCAGCATGAGCGATGAACTGATTCAAGTGGCGATGGTCATCCTGAGGGGAAAAAATAAAGCTCAGCTCTAAATACTGGAAACAAAAAGTATAAAATAACTTTATCTTAGATATTTTTTCATGCATGATATGTTTGCATAACATACAATATTAAGCAACTGCTTGAACAGCGTAATATATGTACCAGAATATATAACTATGAGGAAAATAAGTACAGACTAATGCGGTATTAGATACTAACCTATATACCGGTACTTGTATGTAGTTTAGAAAATGCATTTTTTGCAATTTTTAGGAGAAAAAAAGGTAATTCCAAACATTTATATTGAAATATATCCTTTTATAATAAATCATACTTAAGGCATAAAAATTGGTCCAATTTATGTGGGGGACAGGAAGACAGAAATCAAATAAATGGATGCTCATCAGGATAATTAATCCAGGTGAGATGGGCAGCATATAACTTGAATAAAATAATTTTCAATAGCAACAAATAAAAAAAGCTATTAAGTTCCAAATTCAAATTAACAAAGAACTTGATTGATTAGGGGATAGAATGATTTGATATTATATATTCTGCATTTGAACAATATTTCATACCTTAGATTCTACTTTACCAGCTGGTAGAAATTCCATTTCAAATACAGGATTATCATGGTGACCCACAATTACAAAATAGTAGCTTCCCGACATAATGAAAATATGGCTTATTCTGAAAGAGAATAGAATCATGCAGCTGGAAAAGAAGTGGTTTGCAGAAAAAAATATTGTGATATATATTAAATGTTAAAGCATTTCTAACAGTACAGCTAAGTCTTGATTAGTGCAGATAATGAATCCTATGAAGTTATTGCTATTTGATACTATTTGAATATATTTATATATAAAGTATCATATTGGCTCCACCTCAATGGCAATGAAAATTTTAAACATATATTTTTATTAACGGATTATAGTAAAGGTTGCAAAGAAAATGCTTACAATTTAAACTTACTATTAAAGTCACAAGTTATAATTTTGTTTGAGTAGCATTTTAACAATGCAAAGTTCTTTCCCAACCTCTTATCTGAAATTTATATAATTGTATAATTCTAGTTCACATTTACTGAAATATCAGTTCCAATATTTATATTGTATTCACTGTATTCCAATAAATATCAATTCTACTGTTCAATAGCAAATACAAGTAATGAAATACCCTAGAACATTAGGAAAAATAATTCTATCTTTTTTATATTCTTGACAGTTGAACATTTCTCACAATTATTTATGTAAATATGTTTTAAAAAATATTATGGGGAATGGGATGCATGATGTTATCCTCACCTTTTCACCAGGATATAATTATGCTTACGTTTATTTTTTTAAAAAAACATAGTGTATTCGATCAGAATAAAGCTTTCTATTTTTTAAAGTAAAGTCAGCAAAGTTTCAGAGAATTGTACTATTTGTTCATTTATGGAGATAAACCTGAACAGGCTGGCTTAAACGTAAGGAAAGATAATAGAAGGCACAGATTGGAAAATATATTTCAGGTGATCATATTAAAAAGTTGAATAGGAAAAACTGTCTACCCAGAGGATGCTAATTCCAAATTCAATAGCCCCCCAGCGGCGGGCCACAGATAATCTAAAATATCTGAATTCTACACCAAAGATTCCATCTGAAAGTCTTTCAAGTAGCGTGCAAACCATGGTTAGAAACAGCCTTATATGTCAATTATTCCCTGTTGAAAATTTTGAGTTTTATAGTGCAATGCTGTTTTTAATTTCTTTTCCCATTAAAAAACAAACTACTATAAATACCACTTTTAGAGAATCCGTGAAAAGAAAAGAAAAACAATTTCCCCGAGTCCGTACAGCGACTAGGTTTCTAAGACGGTAGAAATGAGAAGAAACAAATCCTCCCTCTGCAGAACAGTCGGCGCTGTTTGATGTCGTCAGAAGCCCCCCCCTCCCCTTTAAAGCGCGAATTAGAAAATAACCCCGCGCGTTCTCGTGAGAATTCTGGGATAGCAACGCGTCTGATCGTTGATGGTAGCAATAGCAGCAACAGCAGGAATGGAAGAGGCGGTTCAGGGCGCTTCGTCATTGAACGCGATTTCTTTGGGGGTGGGGCGTGAGGAGATCATTTGCCCGTTTGTTTTTTTGGTGGATCGGTAGTGGAAGTGCAGTTTTCTTCTTTGTAGCAGTGTCGAGTTTGGTGCGTTGTGTGAGTGTGTTCTTAGCGCAAGTTTTCACTTCCCCCGTTTCTCCGATCCTCAGTGTGTACAAAATAAATCCTGAAGCGAGTAAGTCTGTGAAGGGTGGGAATGTAGCCTGGGTAGTGTGATATGTAGCAGACAGAAATGGAGTAGATATTTTGGAGGAATGTTTTTTAAGTGCGGTGAATTTTATTACGTTTTTTGCAGAGCAATGAGTGGAATGCTACTTTGGGTATTGTTATTTAAATGTTAAAGTCTGAAGCTTTCTACCTAGAGTAATTAAAATAGCCTTTGTTAGTTTCTTTTATTTGTAAATAAAATCAAACTTTTATATGAAACACAATGGAAAAGTAACAAATGAAACCTTTTCTGAGTCATTGTAAAGACACAAAACAGGAATATAAATCTAGCAAGTAAATAAAAATGCATAAACTGGGCTTAGGGCATTAGAGTCTGGTAACTTTTAATGATAGTGTTTCCCTTTCGAGAGGTGTGATAACATATCCTTCATGAGGGGTAGGGGTTATAGGTTGCTTTCATTGATTGTATACAGGAGCCTATAATCCACGCATAAGCGTAAAGAGCCATCCTTCTTCTCTCTAAAGAGGACCGGGCGGCCACTTTAGGCTTGGCTGGTTCAATGAACCCCCTTTCTAGGTTTTTCTTGATGAATCTTTCCATTTCCTCCTTCTCCTTTGGGCTCATGGAGTATAATCTGGGCTTCGGAGTTTTGCCCCAGGCTTGAATTCAATGGCACAGTCCGTGGGTTGGTGGGGGGGGAGAGCTCATCCACCCTCTCCTCACTGAAAACTTTAGCCAGATCTCTGTATTCCTCTGGTATTTCTGGTTGGTGTGGGTCCCCTCGGGGCAGGCAAGTGTCATATAGGTTGCAATTTAGGCCATCTTTGAAATGACTAAGGAGGATGTCTTCTGGCCAGTTCAGTTTGCTGGCAATGGCCTGGAATTCTTGCATATATTCGGCTACTGGACGTTTGCCTTGCCTCATCGTTTTGATCCTTTTGTGGGCTTTGCGATCAGCCAGGGGGTCCTCAAATCGCTTTCTCAGAGAGGACATGAACCGGTTGAAGTCATTGAGCTCTGGGGCATTGGAGTTGTGCAAATTCACCACCCAATCTGCGGCTGGCCCATCCAGAACAGATTGCACGATCCGGATCCAGGCTTTGTTGCTAAGGATGTGCCGCCCATATTCCTCCATGTAGCTGAGGACTTGGGTTAGGAAAAACCTCAAGTGTGTCAGCTCCCCCTTGAATCTTGCGTCCAGTGGCGAGAGTCTTTGAATGGATCGGTGCCTTCGTTGTTGGTGGTATTTTCTTCCATCCAGATCACCTTCTGCGGGTCGGCGGGGAGTGGGGACTACTGGATCAGCGGACGTCCCCTGAGCTGCAGGTTCCAATTCCCCCTAAGTGTTTCTCCAGTTGCGGCTCTTCAGAAGCTGGCGCGGCCGTGGGACTCAGAATTCTCCTCTCCTAGGGAACTGAGGGTTCTTTTCATCAAGTCGATAGCTTTCTCTAGGATCCAGCTCGAGTGCGATGCCCAGCTCCCTTCCTCTTCGCTTGTGTACAGGGATTTCTCCATCTTCTGCTTCCATTCTGGTTGGTTGGCCCCCTGTCTCAGAGTCACCTTTCTTGATTTCTTTTCCCACTCGCCTTTTTTTCCAACGCCTATTGACCACCGAGGTTTGTGGTTACGTGTCTCCACCATCTCTTCTTCTGAGGAGTCTGACCTCTCAGATCCTGACATCTGGCAGGTTTTCAGTCGGGGCAGTGGCTCCCTCTCTGGGGGGCTTTCTCCCTTCCCTGCTCCATCGTCTGACATGGTATTTTTTGCAAAGTCCCCCGGCAAGGTTCTCCCTTCCAGGTGGACTAATTCTGCAGATCCTGTCTAATGTAAGGACCCACCTCAATCTTACATCTTAAGAAGACAGAATTCTTGGAATATCTCTTCCAACAGGAATCTTTATTAAGAGAAGCTGATTGTAGGCATGTTAGACAGGATCCTATCCCACCCTTCAATGTTTTAAAGTGTTCCCGAGCAGCCCCCGCCCCACAGTTCTTCCGGGCGATTCGATTTGCTCTGTTGGCACAATCACTCATCCTCTCTTTCCCAGATCCCACGCGTTGGATTCCCCCCCTCACCCCTTTTTCCTCACTGCCGGCAAAGAGGAGAACTTCAGAGGGACTAAGATGAAAGGCAGATGGCCGCATTGTTATGTTTAGTCCTCTCGAAGAGAATCCACAAACGGTCACTTTGTTGTTAATGAAGGAAGTGAGAATCATAAAAAAAATCCTGCTTATCCTCCTCCCCTTTCGTAGTATGACAGAATCCAGAATAGAGTGAGAATTGGGTTTTATCAGAGTAGGTAGATAGAAATGAAATATAATTGGATTCTGACATCTAGTCTGACTTAACCTTCCTTTCAGAACCTGGTCTGCAGATGTGCTGGATCTCACTAGTACCCAATACTGAAAGCTACGGGTGTTAAAATACAGCACATCTGGAGAGCCAAGTTGAAGGCTAAAAAGTTAAGTAGCAACTGATAAAAAAAATCCATTGTTTACAATTACAACTGAGACCAGTTTGGTCTAGACTAGAGTGACTCTAGAGCAGTGGTTCTCAACCTTCCTAATGCTGCAACCCTTTAATACAGTTCCTCATGTTGTGGTGACCCCCAACCCCCATCCAGCTGGCCGGGTGGGTATCAAAAACTTGACCAAAAGGAAAAAATGGGAAAGTATAAGTAGTCCTCGACTTACAACAATTAGCTTAGTGACTGTTTGAAGTTACAACAGCACTGAAAAAGCGAATTATGATCATTTTTCACACTTATGATTGTTGCAGTATTCCCCAGGGTCATGTGATTTACATTCGGATACTTGACAATTGATTCATACTTATGATGTTCAGTGTCCCAGGGTCACGTGATCAATGGCCAGGGGGTGTGGCCAGCTGATCACTCAGGTTGCAGAGTGCCTGGGGGGGGGAGAATCTGTGGGTCTCTGGGATGGGACTGGGGTGGGTGCCTGCCTTCCTTCCCTCCCCTTGTCCTTCCTTCCTTCCTTCTCTTCTTCCTTTCCTTCACCTCCCTCTTAGTCTCTTCCTCCTTCCCTCCCTCTCCCATTGTACCTTTCTTCCTTCTTTCCTTCCTTCACCTTCTTCTTAGTCTCTTCCTCCTTCCCTCCCTCTCTCCCATTGTCCCTTCCTTCCTTCCTTCCTTCCCCTCCCTTAGTCTCTTCCTCCTTCCCTCCCTCTCTCCCATTGTCCCTTCCTTCCTTCTTTCCTTCCTTTCCTTCACCTCCTTCTTAGTCTCTTCCTCCTTCCCTCCCTCTCTCCCCTTGTCCCTTCCTTCCTTCCTTTCCTCTTTGTCCCTTCCTCCCTTCCCTCCCTTCCATTGTTCCTCCCTTCCTTCCCTCATTGTTCCTTACTTCCCTCCCTCTTCATCCCTTCCTTCCTCCCCCCCTCCATGCCTAGGAAGGGACAAGGGGACGGGGATAGGCTGCCGGTGTGACTGGGGGCTTTACTGCTGGCAAACCTGCTTGTACACAGGCAGAGACCGAGGAGAGCTCGCCCAGCTTACTTGCTCAGCTTTGCCGAAAGGCATGCCGCTTGCTAACTTAGCAGAAGCTACAGGATCAGCGCCGGGCTACAGCTGATTCGCGCTTCTGCTAAATTAGCAAGTGCATGTTTTCTAGCTAGCAAGTTTGCTGGGCAGGAGCCAAGGAGAGCAGCTACAGCTGCAGAAGTGCGGATCAGCTGTAGAGGCTCACCCCGATCTGGACAAGAGGGAAGGAAGGAAGGGCGGAAGGGACAAGGGGAAAGAGGGAGGGAAGGAGGGACAAAGAGGGAGGCAAAGGAAAGGAAGGAAGGAAGGAAGGAAGGGACAAGGGGGAGAGGGAGGGAAGGAGGGACAAAGAGGGAAGCAAAAGGAAGGAAGGAAGGAAGGGACAAGGGGAAGAGGGAGGGAAGGAGGGACAAAGGGAGGCAAAGGAAAGGAAGGAAGGGACAAGGGGAGAGGGAGGGAAGGAGGGACAAAGAGGGAGGTGAAAGGAAGGAAGGAAGGGACAAGGGGAACAGGGAGGGGATAAAAAGGGAGGCGAAGGAAAGAAGGAAGGAAGGAAGGGACAATGGGAGACGGAGGGAAGGAGGAAGAGACCAAGAGGGAGGGAAGGAAAGGAAGTTCCAGCCAGCAGAGGCTTGCCAGCCCGGCTGCTGAGAAACAGAAGAGTGCAAAGCCAAGGAGAAGAAGGTGGCGGTTTCCTCCCAAAGGGGGCTCCTTTTCTCCATCCCTTCCCTGGGTTTGTGGGAAATTTCTCGTCACCAACGCTGGCAGGTGCTGTTTCGAGCCCGCCGGGAACTTTCTCACCCCCTTTGCTTCTCCCCCCCTCCCCCGCTTTCATGAGGATTGTGGCGCCCTTGGGAAGCCAATCGTGCTTTGAAGCTTAGGAGATGAGGAAGAGTCCCTTCCTCCTTCCCTCCCTCTTGCGTCAGCTGGCGCAAGTTTGGGGGTTGCCAGCTGACGGGCGCAAGAGTTGGGTGCTGCAACGGCCTCCCCTTTACTGACCTGCGTGCACGAGAAGTCAATCCGGTTGCTGCACAATGAGTCTCTGGGGAGGGCAGGGCCTTGCTCTGCGCCTGCGCTCTTCATGCACCCCCTGCAGGGCACATTTGGTAGAGTTCGTGCAGACTGCCGCCAAGCAGCATATTTTCCACAAACAAGTGAGGTGGAGCGGAGGGGGGGAGGGAGAGAATGCGGTTGACAAGCCCTGCCTAAGACCATCGGAAATATGTGTTTTCCGATGGTCTTAGGCGACCCCTGTGAAAGGCTCGTGTGACCCCCAAAAGGGTCACGACCCACATGTTGAGAATCGCTGCTCTAGAGGTTAAGGCATTAGACTGCAAACCAGGAGATTGTGAATTGAACTTTGCCCATGAAAGCCAGCTGAGTGACTTTGGGCCAGTCACTCTCTCTCAGTCCAACCTACCTCACAGGGTTGTTGTGGGGAAAATAGGAGGAGGAAGATGTGTTGGATATGTTCACTGCCCTGAGTTATTTTTTAAAATAAGGTAGGATACAAATAAATAAAAATAATAAAATAATATATGGACTTTGTATAATAAGAGTATTTTACTGATGATTGTTTTTATTGAAGCTTTTAGTATTTCATTTATTTTTAGTTAGATATCTGTTCTTTTTAATTCTATAAAAATAATATAATTCAAATCTAAACTGAGTTGATCACAGCTATCATTATGATCTTAACTTCCCAAAATGAATCTGTACCATTGTTTATGTAGTTCAGTTATTCAAACTAAGCATTTAAATATTTTTGTCTAAGTCTTTGTGCATTTGACAAACTGAATTCTAATCTATGAAAGCTTAAATTGTAGTAAAGAAAGCTGTAGTAAAAGAGGGATATGTTTATAGCATTTTTATTGTTGTTTTGCTGCAGCACATTACTCATTCTTCCAAACACTTAATATTTTAAATGTTGCAATCTAGATTTCATCATGTGGTGCTAAGTATTTTAATGGAGTTCATTTATATTGCCAAATATGTTACTGTGGATTGGTTTATAAATCTAAAAATATTACATTAATTTTTTCATGTTTTCAGATTCTGATGTCTTCATCTGAATTTAAGGCTCTTTCACAAGATGATCTCCGGAAACAATTATACCAGACATTTAAAACCCGAGGTGTTTTGGACACACTTAAGGTCTTTGATTTAAACTAGATTAAAATTAGGATAATTTGGGTCTTAATCTTGGCAAAGTCAGCTGAATATTTGTTCAAGTTATACCAGTTTAAACTTTTGTTAAAAATGCACTAGCTTGCGATTTAAATGATGCTGAGTATACTAAAATATTTAGTATATTGTTAGTGGTGGTGATAACATATGTGACACTTTATAGATATGCAGTTTATGATGACTTGTTGATTCACACATCTATTAGAAAGATATCTTTACCAGTTACATACACTTTTTTCGGTGCATTTTTGGGAAAGAAAAAAACCCCTGTTATCTAAGATTCAAACAGTAGTTTAAATTCAGAGGTATGAAACATTCTCTTTTTAGTCACTTTCATATAAATTATTAAATTTTAAACTCTTGCCATTTTAAAGTGTGCAAGCTTTGGTAGACACCTACGATAGATTTAACCATAATATACAAATTAAGACATCTTTGTTGTGGAAATCAAAGCATTCCAGCACTACCCATATCTATGATGTGACTAACAGTTTTTCTCATAAAGCTCTTGCTCCGCTCAAATTATTGTTTGGCTGCCAAAAAATTGCCCAGTCCTAAGCTTTAAGATTAGAGACGACACCACGCTGGCAGGAATAGCCAACACTCCAGAAAACAGGCTTAGGATACAGGAGGATCTGGACAGACTTGAACACTGGGCGCTATCTAACAAAATGAAATTCAATGGTGAAAAAAGTAAGGTTCTACATTTAGGCAAGAAAAACCAAATGTACAGGTATAGTATAGGGGGTACCTTGCTCAATAGTAGTAACTGTGAGAGGGATCTCGGAGTCCTAGTGGACAATCATTTAAATATGAGCCAGCAGTGTGCTGCAGCTGCCAAAAAAGCCAACACAGTGCTAGGCTGCATTAACAGAGGGATAGAATCAAGATCACGTGACGTATTAATACCACTTTACAATGCCTTGGTAAGGCCACACTTGGAATACTGCATCCAGTTTTGGTCACCAAGATGTAAAAAAGATGTTGAGACTCTAGAGAGAATACAGAGAAGAGCAACAAAGACGATTAAGGGACTGGAGGCTAAAACATATAAGGAACGGTTGCTGGAATTGGGTATGTCTAGTTTAACGAAGAAAAGGACGAGGGGGGACATGATAGCAGTGTTCCAATATCTCGGGCTGCCACAAAGAAGAGATAGTCAAGTTATTTTCCAAAGTACCTGAAGGCAGGACAAGGAGCAACGGGTGGAAACTAACCAAAGAGAGAAGCAACCTCGAACTAAGGAGAAACTTCCTGACAGTTAGAACAATTAAGCAGTGGAACAACCTGCCTCCAGAAGCGGTGAATGCGCCAACACTGGAAGTTTTTAAGAAGAAACTGGACAGCCATTTGTCCGAAATGGTATAGGGTTTCCTGCCTGAGTAGGGGGTTGGACTAGATGACCTCCAAGGTCCCTTCCAACTTTATCATCATCATCATCATTATTATTATTATTATTATTATTAAATATGTTTTCATTTTATTCAAGGGAGCTTTTCAAATATTCTCAATGCAGATTAGATCAAAACATTAACTTTAATTAGGCATGTGTGAAATAATATTCATAATATAAAGCCATTTAATTAGTGATATCCACCTTGTGCTTCTCTAAACTCATTCCAAAGTATATCCCCAAACCATAGCTTTCTCCTTGATGTAAATTATTACAAAACCAATACCACATTATACATAACCTATAATACATAACTCAGTTTTACCTTTCCAGATTTAAAACTTCACTAGGTATAATGTATATACCCTGCTTTTCTTCAGGAGGGAAGTTTAAAATGACAGTAATTAATTTTTTTTTTGTTTCAGATGCAACTCCGTAAGCAGCTCATACATGAACTAATAAATCCAGTTTTATGTAGAGAAATTCTTCCAAAGGCTACTTCTAGTGAATGCAGTTCATTGATCATTGTTGCGTGTAATAGTTTGGTGGCAGATCACTTGCGGAGATGTGGCTATGAATATTCACTGTCTGTCTTTTACCCAGAAAGTGGATTAGAAAAGGATAAAGTAAGTGTCTTGAGAGCTTGGTAAAGGACTATATTGTTTCATGCCTTCCCCCTACATTTGACTCATTATAGTTTGCTTATTTGAAGAATTGCTCTATAGATGATGCACTTTCTTGTGTGCTTCATCTTAGTTTGGTGCATCTGGAGGAGAACAATACTCACGTGGAAATGCTGTTGATTTCAGTTTGGCGTTCAACACAATCATTCCTCAGCATTTGGTGAACAAATTGGGCCTATTAGGTTTTAATACTTCCTTACATAACTAGATACTTGACTTTCTTATTGATAGTTCCTTACATAACTAGATACTTGACTTTCTTATTGACTGATATTTCTCTGTATTATATATATGTGTGTGGGAGTATATGCATAATGGTATTTTTTTGAGAGCTGAATGCAATCAAATTTCATTTTAATGTATGCTGATTAGTGTACATTTAAAGAGTATTCTATTTCTATTCTATTTGTGAGAGTTGGAAGAAAAGTTTCCAGTTCCATTTTTTTGAGCATGGGTTCTCAACAGGACTGTGTTTTGAGTCCGTTACTATTCACCATGATGACCATGACTACTGCGAATCATATTGTGAATTATGCGGAGGACACGGCAGTAGTGGGTCTTATCCGGGATGATAATGAAGATTCTTATAGGAAGGAGGTGAAGGCATTGTTGGATTGGTGCAATAAAAATAACCTGATTTTGAGTGTTAATAAAACTAAGGAGATCATTGTTGATTTTAGAAAGAACCACATACTCATACTCCACTTTGTATCAAGGCTGCTGTGTGGAGGTGGTCAATAGTATTAAGTATCTGGGGGTGCAGATAACTAATAATGTGACTTGGTTTCTTCATATGTTATCTTTACTGAAGCGTGCAAACCAGCGTTTGCATTTCTTGAATCAAATGAGGAAAGCACATCTTTCTCCTTCTGTCCTGGCCACTTTTTACAGAGGCACGACTCAGAGCATTTTAACAAATTGCATCACTATTTGGTTTGATGGTAGCAGTGCCTCAGATAGAAGGTCCATACAGAGAGTGATAAGGGCAGCTGAGAAGATTATATAGAAAGGTCGCTTTCTGTTATTCAGGATACTGCTTATAAGCGCTATGTGTTTAGAGTTCGAAGCATTTTTAGAGACGCCACACACCCACTTCACAGTCTATTTCTGTTGCTCCCCTCTGGGAGGAGGTTTCAAAATATAGCAGAACTACTAGATTCTGTAACAGCTTTGTTCCTTATGCCATCCATCTTGTAAATACACAGGATTCTTTTTTTTTCCCTGTTGTATGTATACATTCGAACTAGACTGATATTTCTCTGTGTTATATATGTGTGTGTATGTGGGTATATGCATAATGGTATTTTTTTGAGAGCTGAATGCAATGAAATTTCATTTTAATGTATGCTGATTAGTGTACATTTAAAGTGACAATAAACTATTCTATCTCTATTCTATTCTCTGAAAATGAAGAGATATTCCCTGAGCATGTTTCTGCCAATCAAGTTGCAATCCTGTTGTTACATCCTGACTTTCAAGTTTCTGAAACCAAAATAGGAGCTGTGTAGCTTTTTCTGGTTTTTTGTGACAATGTGCCTTCTTAATTTAGAACTGGTATCTAAATAATTTTTTTTAAGCTGTTACCAGAATTTCTCAATCTAAGGCAGTTTGCTTAACTGTGGTTCAGATTAATGACAGTCTTGGAAAGGGTGGTTTATGGCCTGTAAAGCACTTTCAACTGTCGCAAAATGTTGCACCATCCCTCATGTGATCACGATCTGGGTGTTTGGCAACCTGTTTGTACTAATGACCAGTTGCCAAGCATATTCCAGTCACATGATCTCCGTAATCTTCTTTGCCAGCTTTCCCAGAAAGCCAGTGGGGAAGCTATGTGGGAAGGTTGTAAGCTGCTGCCATCTGCTGAGGACTTTTCATCTTTGAGGCTAGCTGAAAAAGCTCCCTGCTGAAGGTTTTCAACTCTGTGCCTGGTAGCAGGAAATTCTTTCTTTCAGCCAGCACCCAGAGACAAGAAGGAGCAGAAATTCAAGCAAGACTTCAAACTCCTGCTAGGATTTTCAGTTTGCTTGGGTGCATGCCACCAAGTAAAATGTCAAAATTTGCACTGATTGTCACTAAAATCCATAAAAATTTGAAATCACTAAATTTTTCCAAACAGCTTTAAGCTAGGTTTCTTCATAGCTCCCATTTATTTATTTAGTGTCCTGCATTTTGTTTGAGGCAGCTAATAGCATTTTTTAACAAAACTGAAGAGTTAAAGTGTAATTTTCGATTTTAGTTTAGTGATTAAGAACCTGGCAAGAAGTGTCCCTACAAATTCTCTTAATACTGTATTAGAGGTAGGCAACTTTGTAGTATTTTATGAGCACAAGAAGGTGCTTTATATTAATGTTTGATTAATTAGAGCAATATTGTGATAGAAGTAAGAAATGACAAATTCTTTTTTTGCTAACTTATAGGTAAACCTATGAAGTATTTGAAGAGACTTTTTTTTATAGGTAATGTTCAAATGTGTCATACCTATATACAATCTAAAACAATCTACTCATGTGAACGCATACCCCATGATGCTAATGGGGTAAAGGAGCCAGGGAGAGAATTGCAGTACTTTTATATGTTTATATGTAAAAGGCATATACATTTTCCTTAAGAAACTTAAGAATGGATTATAACTCCACAAGTATTTTTGAAAGCAGAAGTGGAAAGACAAAGTTCTTTAGGAATATTAGACAGACATGAAAAGAGAACTTTTCAAAGGTGACAGAAAATCTAAATTGGGATGTATGTTTGTTTCTTACATTTTTATCTAATAACCAAGGTGCTCTTGGCATATTGCATAGTTAATATGAGGGCAATTCGGAAATCTGTTCGGTTATCAATGACAGACACTCACAGATACAGAACTTTTATTATACACATTAGAAAACTACAACATTTTTTACATAATAGCTATTCAAATTGAGGCACTTGTCATAATGTCTTACAAGATTTGAAATTCCTTAGTAGTCACTTGGGGCCAAATCTGGGCTATGGGGGGGGGGTGATCAAAAATATCCCAATGGAGCTGCTTCCAGTGGCGAGCAAGCTAGTCAGCATGGCAGGTTGTAAGCTATGCCATCATGCTGAGGACTTTTCATCTTTGAGGCTAGCTGAAAGCTCCCTGCTGAAGGTTGTTCATACTCTGTGCCTGGTAGCAGGAAATTCTTTCTTTCAGCCAGCACCCAGAGACAAGAAGGAGCAGAAATTCAAGCAAGACTTCAAACTCCTGCTAGGATTTTCAGTTTGCTTGGGTGCATGCCACCAAGTAAAATGTCAAAATTGTGCACTGATTGTCACTAAAATCCATAAAAATTTGAAATCACTAAATTTTTCCAAACAGCTTTAAGCTAGGTTTCTTCATAGCTCCCATTTATTTATTTAGTGTCCTGCATTTTGTTTGAGGCAGCTAATAGCATTTTTTAACAAAACTGAAGAGTTAAAGTGTAATTTTCGATTTTAGTTTAGTGATTAAGAACCTGGCAAGAAGTGTCCCTACAAATTCTCTTAATACTGTATTAGAGGTAGGCAACTTTGTAGTATTTTATGAGCACAAGAAGGTGCTTTATATTAATGTTTGATTAATTAGAGCAATATTGTGATAGAAGTAAGAAATGACAAATTCTTTTTTTGCTAACTTATAGGTAAACCTATGAAGTATTTGAAGAGACTTTTTTTTATAGGTAATGTTCAAATGTGTCATACCTATATACAATCTAAAACAATCTACTCATGTGAACGCATACCCCATGATGCTAATGGGGTAAAGGAGCCAGGGAGAGAATTGCAGTACTTTTATATGTTTATATGTAAAAGGCATATACATTTTCCTTAAGAAACTTAAGAATGGATTATAACTCCACAAGTATTTTTGAAAGCAGAAGTGGAAAGACAAAGTTCTTTAGGAATATTAGACAGACATGAAAAGAGAACTTTTCAAAGGTGACAGAAAATCTAAATTGGGATGTATGTTTGTTTCTTACATTTTTATCTAATAACCAAGGTGCTCTTGGCATATTGCATAGTTAATATGAGGGCAATTCGGAAATCTGTTCGGTTATCAATGACAGACACTCACAGATACAGAACTTTTATTATACACATTAGAAAACTACAACATTTTTTACATAATAGCTATTCAAATTGAGGCACTTGTCATAATGTCTTACAAGATTTGAAATTCCTTAGTAGTCACTTGGGGCCAAATCTGGGCTATGGGGGGGGGGTGATCAAAAATATCCCAATGGAGCTGCTTCAAAAGGTGTTGGGTGCATTTAGCGGTGTGCGGGCGAGCATTATCGTGAACCAACACCACACTGGAAGTCAGCATGCCCTAACGCTTGTTATGGATGGCTTGTCTGAGTTTTCGTAACATTTCATAGTAGACTTCTGAATTAGTGGTCGAACCATGCTTCATGAACTTCACTAGCAGTACTCCTTTGGCATCTTCACATTTGGTGGGATTTTCTATAGCAGGGTTCATTTTCAGTTGATCTAGCGGACACGTCAACTGCAACACAACTTCCTTCCACTCCTCACTGCCTATTGAACTACTGTGCATGGCACTATAGGACGGATGTTGCTATCCCGCCTATTTCCTGCATGCTCAAATGGAGGTTTATTTCCAAATTGTCCTCGTATATCAAAAAGATTTTAAACAATGTTAAGCAATAAAAAATCTGCAATGAATTAGTAGTCCAGAAAAATGTAATTTCTAATGCTGAATAAGGCACTAATATCAAGTAAAAAAACTATATAAACGCTTGGTATAAGAGTTGTGTCCTGTTTGGCAGTGAAAAAGGTCAAATGCATTTCTCTAGAGAGAGGACAAACTAACATCTGAAGATTTCCTCGAGGTATTCTACCTCCTGATTCTTCAGGGTTTTAAAATCAGTACCAAAGAAACCTGTTAATGGAATTTGAAAAAGGACTGATGATCCAGCAGTTTTAATCAAACATTGGTATCACACAATCTTTTTGGATAGTGCTAGTTAGTAATTCTGTAGCTGAATTTTTGAGCCGTCTTTAAAATTGTCCCATATACTTAAGGCATTTGAAAAAACCTTTTGTATTACTTAATGGTTTGAGGAATACAATATTTATAGGACTGATTGTAATAGATGTATATGTGACTGTGGGAATTGTAGATAGAGACACTTCGTTGGCTATAGAAAAGGAGAAAATATTGACTTATATGATGAAGTACTGTCTTTTGCCATTTCTAATATCATGTTGTTTTATTTTATTGTTCTTGGGTATGTAGAATTTAAAATATGTAGCTGATGGTTAACAACTTATTTTTCTTTTTCCATAGGAGCTTAATATACAAGATCTGCTCCGGCTAATTAGGATCAGTCCAACAAGTGACCTTTATAAAATGCTGGTAAAAGAATACTACTTCAAGAAGATGTATGTATGCAGCTCCTAGTAATGAACATTGTTTTGAATAAATGCATTTCTGTTTACAGATTTCAGATTTAACAAAAACCAGCATGAAAGGTACGACTTTTGATTTACTTGTTTTAAACTATGTAGTGATATGTACTTGTCATTATGAACTACTCAAAGATGTTAAGGAAATGGATGTCATAAAAACTTCCTAACTAAATAAAATGTTAAAAATGCTAACTTGTCCATTACAGAAATCTTATTTCTGCTCACTGTGCAGATTGAACTTAAAAAAACATTTTCCCCAACTACAGAAACCCTGTCGGTGCCTGCTTTAAAACAAACCTTCTATTTCAGTATAAAATTAAAGCAGAAGGATGAGTACCATTCAGTATATTTAAAAACATAAACTGCCATTAGAAAATGAATTTGTAAAATGTCACTTTGTAATGTAGTGTAATGTTTTGAGGAAATCAATTGGGCAAAATAGGGATAGGTTTGGTAACTGATATGACTGCAATGTTAGAAGATCATATTTTTCTTTTAAATTCTGTAAGCTCTCCTTTGCCTTCTTACTGTTATGGCAGCAGCTCCCAACCTTTTGGGTGCTGGGGATGTGTTCCTTGGAGAGGGTGTTTTCCACAGACGGGAGGGAGTGGTTTCGCACTTCCTGGATCCCACCCGTGGGCTTCACTTGCTTGCACAGACCAGTGCCGATCCACGGCCCAGGGGTAAGGGACCCTATGCTACAGCATAGCATATTTTTTTTGACATTCTCCTTATGATATATAGATTTGTTATTAATTGTACTTCTCCAAGGCTTTCTTATACAGATTTTAACAGAATTGGTAGAATACAATCTCTGTAAGGAGACCTATAATGCAGAAACTCAGACAAGTTCAGCACTCTACAAAGAATCTCTTGGTAAGTTTAGTATTATAATTGATTTATCCTCAGGCAACTTGGCAAATTATCTATGTAGCCTCAGTGAATGTGTGTATATTCTTTAGCAGGATTTTAAATGAGTGCCAAAACCTCTTAGGCAGTTTAATATAAAATGTGTATAGGTACCCCTCAGTCCTCAATTACATTTGCCTTAATTTTGTTAGACATAGATATATTACAGTTTGTAAATAGAGGTTATGTTCCAATAGAAGAGAATATCTATAGCTCAGGATTGAACTATGTAGTCCTTGATGCCCTCTGAATTTGGTGGTTTGCTTGCAGACATTTCATTACCAACCAGGTAGCATCAGTGCTAGCGAGTGTGGAGTTTGCTTCATGTTTATATATAGTAGCTTGCAAGTTATTGTATATAAACAGGGATAAAACTCCACATTTCCCAGCACTAGTCAGGTAATGAAACATCTGCAAGCAAACAACCAAGGATACCACAATAATCTTTTAAGGAACACCAAGGATTGCACAATTATCTTTCATTAATGTTGACACTGGATGTTTCTTGGCAGATTGTTTTTTATAGGACGAGTAGCAGAATTATTATTCTTGTTTTTTATAGGACGAGTAGCAGAATTATTATTCTTGTTCCCTTGCCATATACAGTATATAGAATTGTAAGATTAAATCATGGCATCTGTTCACATGATTCCCAAAACATTTATTTCTCTGAAGAATTCCATTGTCAGCTTCTCATTTGCACATTAAATCAGTTTTCTAACTTTGTCTGCATTTTAAGTTCTGTTTTCAACCTCCATTGTACTACATTTTATGAATATAATAAGAAATACAAAACAATTTGGTTTCATATTCTTCTCCATATCTTTTGATATTTTTTATTATTTTTATCCATTTATACCTCAGTAATGGAACACTTCATATATTTTGTTTTTGTAGCTGAGAAACTTCAACTAATTGATGAACAGTTTGCAGACATGTATCCTCAGCGTCATTTATCTGAGTCTTTTCATGTAAAACTTGCTGAATATAAAAGAGAAATAGAACAGCAGCTGCAGGCAGAAATGTCGCAAAAGGTAACAACAGCTGGAAAGGACAAAAGGGATAGTTAGTTATGTGAAATTGTTGTAATTTCATATATTCATATTCATGCCTATGTTGTTTTAAGTTTGTCTCTTTGTTTTTATGATTGTCTTTTTCTTAAGAAAGTAAAACCTAAGGAAGAAAAATAAAGGATCAATATTTGTTGAACTTAACATTATTATTGATATTATGGGTAAAAGGAATTTGTCTATTATAAAAGAGAATATTTTTCCCTATTTAGAGTATGTGATGTAAATAATATTTTGCATAATTGTTAAAATAAAAAGCACAGAGAAGCAGCTAATTGGATTATGTTCTATACTATCATCTACAGCTGAGAGGGTCTCAGAAAAGCTACAATTGGATCCAAATATTTTCTTCCCCCACAGGAGACAATTTGACATAGGGATGTAGTGCATCAAAAGGAGGTATTAACAGATTCCTCTGCAATATGTTGGTGCTTCTTTTCCTGTTCCCTGCTTGTTGGAAAAGTAAAAATAGGTTCTGAATATATGTATTTTGAAATCAAATTGTATATATTCTTAATAACATGACCCACAAATACTGGTTGCGTCTAGTGCAACCCAGTGATGTTCAAATGAACTTCTCTGTTGCTTTTATCTTGTGCTTGTCTAAGCAATAGCAACAGCAATAGCACTTACATACTGCTCCACAGTGCTTTACAGCTCTCTCTAAGCCAGGCATGTCAAACGTGCGGGCTGGATGCAGCGCTTGTAGGCCACGCCCACTCCGTCCCCACAAAAGCAAAGAAAATCATGATACATCACGATACGGCCCGCAATGTGATTGGGCTTTACATCCCTGCTCTAAGTGGTTTACAGAATCAGCACATTGCCCCCAACAATCTGGCTCCTCATTTTACCAACTTTGGAAGGCTGAATCAACCTTGAGCTGGTGAGGATTGAATTCAGGCTATGAGTAGAGTTTGCCTGCAATATTATATTCTAATCACTGTGCCATTCTGTACTCTTCTTTCCTAATACCTGAAATGTTATTGACTGCAGAAATGAGGAAATGCATCCATGCTTAAGAGTAAATAAAGCATAAATGCTTTAAGATTCCAACAGTATTCCCTGAATATCTGCATTTTAAGATAAATGGCTTTGTTAATTCTAGGTGAATGCTGCTATTTCAAATTTCCCTCAAAAGTTGAAAATATACTATATGAATAAATGTTAATGTCATTAAGGAATTTAAAGAAATTACGAGCTGAACAGTACATTTGAAGCACAGGAAAAGGCTGTTGAATTTCTGGCCAGCATATCTGTTTTCAGTGTTTTCAATTTCTGTTTTATAAATGTTACAGTTACAACACTTCAAGGATGTTGAAATTGCCAAAATCAAAATGGATGAAAGGGCAAAATTCCAGAAAGAACTTTCAGAACTTCAGAAAGAGTTTCAAAGAGATCATCAGGCCAAGTCAGAGGCTCTCGTCTCTCGAGAAAGAAATGCTATTGAGCGACTTCATAAACAGCAAGAGGTAATTTTTTAAAAACAGTTTAGTGAATTATCCAATATTAGGAGTTGTTTCAGAAAGTTTCTGAAAATAATTACATATATTTTGCCTTGGTTTGTGATATATAGGGTTACTAATGAATTAAATACTCATATTAAAAATGGGATTTTTAAGACGATTTTAATGGGGTGACGTGTCACATTATGGTTTATTATGTGGGATGCTACTAATGTTCAGTTTGTACTGAGAAAAATGAAGATATATTGATTTATTCAGCTAATGGCTTACATTTTGATAAATAGAATTGTGAAAGAAATGGGAAATGTATTTTGTTTTGCGCTTGTAAGAAAACATCCATTCTGGAGTGTTCCATCAAAAGGCTTTGCACTGACTGCATTATAACAGAATAAAACTTAAAATGCTTGAAGTATTTTGTGCTTTATTGAAATGAAATATTTCAAATATTTAGGATGAATTTTTCAATTAGTATTCCATAGAACTTAGGGTGTGTTGAGAATTTGATGGCTTTTGTGAAATACTAAACAAAAAAGGGGGAAAAAAGCCAATTTCACTTAAACACAGCCAAGTTTACCTCATGATCAAAGTTTCTTGGATTTTTTTTTTAAGTTTACCAGTTCTATGGCTTGAAAATTTTGAAAAGCTTTTGAAATGAGAATACAGAACAAGCCTCTTGGTCCAATTTCACCACATGATCAAAAGAATAGATAGAGCATAACATGAAAAGCTAGCCTATCAGTATTTGGCAAATTGGTGTGGGTGCAAACATTTGTTTCATCTTTTTCCCATGCTTCCTTGAACTGAAACAGGACTATATCCTTCCTTTGTCCTATAGGCTGATTGAAAGAGATGCAGATAAAGAAATTACAGAATTGTCTTCTGTCCCGCTCTTTCTAGTTATAATAGGAGTGGCTTATTCTCCAGCACTGGAGATGGATAATCCACGCAGTGGGTTGAGACTGTATTCCTGGCCAATCAGATCAGTCAGCCAAAGTTGCCACGCCCCGTCTTGGACCATGATCCTTAGTCTTGACTGATCTGGCCATACAGAGACACCTACAACTTTTGGCTCCTGGGCAGGTATAGTTCCTTTCCATTAGGGGGGATTTTTTCTAGTAGCTGAAATTGCTTAGTTTAAAAGTTAATTAGAGATAATTTAATTCAATTTAATTGATCACTCAAAAATTTCCTTGCTAAATTGTAAGACTCAGGAAGTCAGATTCCTACAGGGGAAACCACCCCCACTTAAAAGGGGGAAATCCCTAACTCCCCTCCCTAACCCAAAAACCCCAGCCACCTTCCAGCAGCCGGCAGCCGCCTTAAACAAACGGGGAGGCTCGGGCAACCCCTCGCGTTTAAAACAAACAAAACAAAAAAGACAGAAAGGCAAGCAGTTAGCGAGGGAAGCGGAGGACAAAGGGGACGCATGCTGGGAGGGAGATTGATTAAGGGAAACAGCTGGCGTGCGAAGGAGCAGTCTTTTCACTCCAGGCTGCTCAGGATTTTTTAAACGAGGCGCCATTGTCTGCACAGCTGGAAGCACGCGCAGCTCTTTGTTACAACCGCACATGGCATAGGCAGCCTTGTTAACACATGCGCAGTAGCCTCCTGGCAGCGGCGGCCATATTTTTTGTCCAAACAGGGGAGTTAAAGCTCACTGAGAAAGCTAGGTTCAGCCGCTGGAGTGAATTAATAGGCAAGCAGTACTGGGGTACTAAAGCATCTATTATTCATTCAGAGACATTCAAATCAGACACATAGCTACTGGTTCCAGGACTTGGTGTCTTCTACCTAAAGTAAATAAGAACCTTTCATAACTAACTGTGTTTAGTTGCCTTTGGCTCCTTCCAGACTTCGGGTCCCCCATTAGTGGCCCGTACGCCTCTGGATTTAGTGGTGGGTTCCAGGCATCCCCAGTCGCGTGCCTGTCCTTACCCACCATAGTCAAGCCGGGTTCCAGGCATTCCCATTAGCGTGCCTGTTCTTATCCGTGCACAGTGACTAACTCTGACAATTTTGCAGAGTCTGCTCCTGAGTTCCAGACGCCCCCAGTAGTGCGCCTGTCCTTACTCAAAGTTGGAGCTCTCCTACTACCTGGGTCCCCCCTATCGCGGCCCAGCGTTAGTGGAGAATGGAGGAAGCAATCATTCCCTCCACTGGAGCCCCACCTTCATCCTCTGGAGCACCTGCTTCAGAGGATTCGGAATCCTCTGCAGCCCCTAGAAAGGCTGCAAGGAAGTCATCAAAGAAGGCTGACAAACAGGCAATCAGAAGACACCAAGCCCTAGAAAAAGAGTTCGACAGAGCCCAGAAAAGGGCCAGAATTGAAAATAGGCAGAATGGGGGAATAGGTCCTGATCTACCGCTGGGTCTCCCTTCATCCCCACGGGCCATTTGGTCATTAGGGAGCTCATCACAGTCCCAAACAGAGGGTGGGATAGGCGAATTCTCATCGCTCTCCCGATCCCCCTCCCCACGGAGGTTACAGGAAACCCCGAGGACCATGCTAACCACAGCACCTGCAGGGTCGCAGGCAATGGTCACTCCTCCTGCATTGACGGGGGATCTGCTAGCTACCCTAATAGCACAGGCAGTGGACCGTGCATTTGAGGCCAGGGCTCAAACTTCAAAAGCCAAGCCTCTAGGACTTAGAACGAGACATCGGGAGGAAACGGAGGACCATCAGGACCTCTCCTCCGTCTCAGACTCGTCGGTCTCTGAGGAAGCTTACCTGGACCAGCCAGGTACGTCACAAGGGATTCAAATGTCTGAGGAGGAGGAGGACACCTCACCTCAAGGGCCGTCCTTCAGCGGCCTGTTTAACCCTTCTCTTTTTGTTACTATTCTGCGCAAGGCTGAGGCCACAGCCCATCTGGGGCATGGGACACCAGCGGAGCCTGTCACAGTTGACACGGAGGCTGAGCCGACGTTCGCCGAAAAGGTAACCACTCAACACCGCATACCATGCCCGACCATGTTCCTAAACACAATAAGGAAACAGTGGGCAGCGCCAACCTCCCTACCGCTTCCTAGCAATGCGGAGAGGAAGCTATTTAACGTAGCAAGGGAGCTAGAGGGAACATTGGAGGTGCCGGTGGTGGACGAACCCATAGGTCCCCTGATATCGGACACGGCCATATCAGGAGATTTTGCTGAGGCTCTTAAAGCCGAGGACCGAAAGAGTGAGTCCAACTACAGGAGAACGCACCAGGCAATAGCTTGGGCTACCAGGGCGTCTACCTCCGCGTCCTTTTTCACCAGAGCCACACTTTGTTGGCTCCGTGAGTTACAGGGCCGGGTTCCCATGGAAGATATACGCACTCACCAGGAACTCAGCAAAATGGTAGCGGCCACGGAATATGCGTCGGACGCAACACTTTTAGCGACCAAGTTTTCAGCCAAGGCAATGGCGGCAAACAACACGAGCAGGCGCATCCTCTGGCTAAAGAACTGGCAGGCGGATACCAAATCCAAGTGGAAATTGGCTTCGGCTCCGTACCAAGGGGCAAAGCTGTTTGGTGAGGCACTAACGCCATACCTGACAGAGAACAAGGACAAGCGCAAGGTCCTTAAACACATGCTTAAAAGGCAGGACAAGAGACCCGGCTCCTGGGGAAGGAAACAATCCTTTCGTACGGAAGCCAGGGTCAACTACTTTCAAAATTCCCAACCCTTCCAAGCTAGACAGGATAGGGAAAGACAGGGGGACAGACAGAACACAAGACATAGGCAAACACAGGGAAGACGGCCCTTTCGGGGGAACAACCGCCCCTTCCGCCGTACCAGATGACTCCCGCCCAGACCTTCCCATAGGGGGCAGACTAGCAGGGTTTGCTCCCCAGTGGGAAGAGACCACCACGGACGTATGGGTCAGGAACACCATACGTCATGGTCTATCTCTAGAATTTCTCTCAAAGCCCCCGAACCGCTTCCGCCCGTGCCCCTGTCCCACAAACCCAACAAAGAGAAGGCTCATGAACGAGGCCGTTCAGCACCTTCTAAACATACGGGCCGTAGAGCCGGTGCCTATGAACCAGAGAGACCAGGGGTTTTATTCTATCCTCTTCGTGGTCCCAAAACCCTCGGGGGGTTGGAGAGCCGTTTTGGATTTGAAAAGGCTAAATTTCTACATAAAATACCGCAAATTCAAAATGCAGACACTACGCTCCATCCTTGGAAGCGTAAGGAAAGGGGATTTTCTGGCATCGATCGACCTCACGGAGGCATACTTGCACATCCCTATCTCTCTGGCTCACCGCCGCTTTCTACGGTTTGCCTACAGGGGGCACCATTTTCAATACAGGGCACTTCCATTCGGCCTGTCATCAGCGCCCAGGGTGTTCACCAAGATTCTGGCGGTTCTGGCAGCACACCTAAGAAACGTACCAGTCAGAGTCCAGTGCTACCTGGACGATATTCTAATCCAGTCATCGTCCGCCCAGCAGTCTCGGGCGGACCTAAAGTTAGTGATAAAAATGCTGCAGGACCACGGCTTCTCGGTGAACTTTCCAAAGAGCCATCTAACCCCAACTACGAGAATACTCCATCTGGGAGCGGTCATAGACACAAAGGAATGCAAGGTGTACCTATCACAGGAACGCCTCAGCAGCATAAAGAAAGCCGTAAAACAGGTAAGCCGCGGTCAGTCAGTGACGCTGGTCTGCCTCTCCCAGCTGCTAGGGAAGATGATATCGACCATAGCAATAGTTCCTTGGGCAAGGCTGCACTCAAGAGAACTGCAGTGGTTCATGCTCCCGTTTCAGAGACAACAAATCAGTGCATCCCGGAAGAGGGTAGGCATACCTCTGAGAGTACGACACTCCCTCAGGTGGTGGCTATCTCCAGCTCTCCTCAGGGGGTCCCCCTTCAGGGAACCAGACAGAGTAGTAGTCACAACAGATGCGAGCTTATTCGGCTGGGGAGGCCACTTGGGGACCAAGTGGACACAGGGCCGCTGGTCAGCGGTGGATCTCCGACACAACATAAACTGGCTCGAGCTGCGGGCTATTCACCTAGCGTTAAGGCATTTTCACAGCAGCATAAAAGGCAGGCACGTACTGGTCCTGACGGACAACGTGACAGCCAAGGCCCACATAAACCGTCAGGGGGGCACACACTCTCGCTCGCTCTCGGCCGAGGCCCTCCTACTGGGGGCCTGGGCGGAACAAAATCTGGCCTCCATAAAGGCCGACCACATATCGGGGGAGGCAAACATCCAAGCAGATCTGTTGAGCAGATCAACAATAGATCACTCGGAGTGGCAACTACACCCGAGGATCTTCAGGGAGGTCTGTCACCGCTTCGGGCTTCCCCAGGTGGACCTTTTTGCCTCTCCTTCCAATGCCCACCTAACTCGCTTCTTCTCCCGATTCCCATCCAAGGGAGCAGAGCAGACGGACGCGTTACGGAGCCCATGGCCAAGGGGGCTCCTGTACGCGTTTCCACCCTTACCTCTCCTTCCGGCGGTAGTACGCAAGATTCTGCGGGAAAGGGCCGAGGTAATCCTTGTGGCCCCTTATTGGCCAAGGAGACCTTGGTTCGCAGACTTGAGGAGTCTCTCCCGCACGAATCCATGGCGGATTCCTCCGGAGAGGATCTCCCTCAAGCAGGGGGAGATCTCCCACCCAGAGCCACAATGGCTACAACTAGCCGTCTGGCTCTTGAACGGTCAATTTTAGCCAAGGGGGCTTGCTCACAGGGTGTAATTAGGGTCATACAGGCATCAAGGCGCCCCTCCACGAACCGTATCTACGAGGCCACGTGGAGAAGCTTCCAATCATGGTGCTCTAAACAGGAATTGTTACTCGAAGGGATCACAATTCCCAAGATCCTAGAATTTTTACTAGATGGCCTAGAGAGGGACCTCTCGCCAAACACACTGCGCAGGCAAATCGCCGCCCTCTCAACTATACTTTCTGCCAGCCCCGGTGAATCCTTGGGCAAGCATCCCTTAATACGATCCTTCCTCAAGGGGGCTGCGAACATCAGACCGCCAACCGTGCACAGGTATCCATCGTGGGAACTACCACGAGTACTACAAGCTCTTACCAGAGCGCCCTTCGAACCACTCAAAACATGTGACATTCGCTATCTGACCCATAAGGTAGCATTCTTGGTAGCCATCACGTCAGCTCGGCGGATATCCGAGTTAGCTTCTCTCTCAATGAGGAAGGACCTGTGCCATTTTCACAGGGACAAGGTAGTCCTAAGAATAGACCCTTCATTCATTCCAAAGGTCAACTCCCTTTTTCACAGATCACAGGAAATAGTCCTACCAGACTTCTGTCCAAACCCAGCTCATCCCCTGGAGCAACAATGGCACACCTTGGACGTACGCAGGGCACTAAGACATTACATTTCACGCACAGCGGAATTCCGACGCTCGGAAGCGCTTTTCATATCCTTCCACCCCGCTACTAGGGGCCGGAAGGTCTCGTCCTCTACCATCGGTAGGTGGATTAGGGCATGCATCACTGGGGCATAACAGGCGGAGTCCTTGCAAGTCCCCAAGCATATCACGGCCCATTCCACAAGGAGTGCTGCCACCTCAGCAGCATGGGCCATGCAGGCTTCTATTGAAGAGGTATGCAGGGCAGCCACTTGGGCCTCGCCCTCTCCATTCATTCGTCATTACAAAATCGACAGGTACTCCTCTAGGTAGGAGGGTTCTCCAGCAGGTGCTAGACCAAAGTTGCACATAGGACCAGTCTATTCCCCAACCCAAGGGACAATAGGCTTTGGTATGTCCCACTACGTGGATTATCCATCTCCAGTGCTGGAGAAGGGGCGTTGACTTACCTGAACGCCTTTTCTCAGCACGGAGATGGATAATCCACACCCACCCTTATAGACTAGAATAATAGGGTATATTTAGTGGAGCCAAAACGTCTTACTGTCAGTCAATGGCTGCGCTCGAGTCAAGACTAAGGATCATGGTCCAAGACGGGGCGTGGCAACTTTGGCTGACTGATCTGATTGGCCAGGAATACAGTCTCAACCCACTGCGTGGATTATCCATCTCCGTGCTGAGAAAAGGCGTTCAGGTAAGTCAACGCCCCTTTTCTGGACAGTCATTCCGCATCATAGCATCATTGGAGAATAATCTTTTCTAGAATGAATCTTTTATAATGATGATAGTAGTGTTCCTTAAAATGCCTGCTAGATCTCCCTCCCCAGATCACCAGTTTAAGCCTAAGTCTATCCCATTTAGAGAGAATTGCAAAACAACTTTACTTCATACATGACATTATGAAACATGTTTCAAGCTATTTGAAACATCTGTTTTAAGCTTAAAATGTTTTGCTTGACCCTGGTGATAAAGAGGGGTTTTTTTTTTTTTTTGGTTATATAGTTTGGAGTTCATTACTTCATATTCATCTGTCCTCATACTTGTTATTTCACCTAAGCTGCAGTTTCCATATCTTCTTGTGCCAAGTAATTTGTTTATCAATAAGCCACTGAAAGAAGTAGGAACTTATGGAAGTTGATATTACAAACACACCCTGTTTTTTTCAAACTGTTATTTTTGAGGGATATATCACCCAAACTGTTTGTCCTAACAGATTGATGCAAAGGAAATTTACTTGCAAAGACAAACCTTACTAAAAGATATTGAAACAGTAAGAAGCCGAGAGGAAGAACTGAAGAAGAGAATAGAAGCTTTTGAAATGTGAGTTTCTAAAAACAATGGGAATATTTCTTTTGTGAAGCGATTCCCCCTATCTTAATTTTTTAATATCATACTTTATAGACAAAAAAATTATGATTCATTTCATTAAGAAACAATAAAAAGATCCTGGAAAGTCTGCTGAGGAACCGTTGTGTTCTACTGTATATACCTTCTTCCCTAATATAGGAATTATTTTCTGGGTTATACAGGTAATCCCCGAGTTACAAACATTCCCTTAGCGAACATTCGAAGTTATGGGATAAGCACACCCTAGTATTTACAAAAAAGTCCTGAAATTATGAATGTTGCTGCACCACGGCAATCATTTACCCTTATGAATGACCACAGAGGCACTGCAACATTCACCCTAGCTATTCCCTCCCCCCGCCCCGGATCTCCCTAGGCACTAGGCCTGTGGATATTCACCTTGTGAAAACCAAGAGAGTCTTCATTTTCTTGGCTGTCTCACTGCTTCAGGCTTCCGGCATGTTCACAGAGAATGGAGACCTAAAGTACCGCAAGATCATGCGAGATCAGTGGCGCGAGATCTCATGCTACAGACCTCATATGTTCTCACAGTACTTTGACATCTGTTCTCTGCAAATGGAGGCCTGGGCAAGAACTGTGGCAAAAGGCTTTGCAAATGGAGGTAAGGTCTGAAACATTGAATCCTTCCCTCTGTTTGCAAAGCCTTTTGCCATCTTTGTAAAAAGCCTCTGCTGCTGAGAATGGAGCCCCGGGGTGATGTGTGTGTTGTCCCTGATCTCCATTTCACTGGCAGAGGCCTTTAGGAAAGGCCTCTGATGTCCAGACTAGAGCTCCAGAGCTATGCAGCCACCATCCCCAACCTCCATTCTGGGTGGCAGAGGCTGGGAGGAGGCCTCTGACACCTAGAACAGGCCTCTGGAGCCGTGCAGCTACCCTCCTGCCCTCTGTTCTGGGCAACAGAGGCGTGGAGGAGGCCTCTGACACTCAGAACGGGCCTCCGGAGCCACATGGCCAGCCCCGACCTCCATTCTGGGCAGCAGAGGCTTGGAGGAAGGCTTTGCTGCTCAGAAAGGAGGCCAGGGGCAATGGACACGTGGCTCCGGAGGTCCGTTCTGGCATCAGAGGCTTCTTCCAGGCCTCTGCGACCCAGAACGGAGGTTAGCAGCGGCTGCGTGGCTCTGGAAATTTGTTCTAGAGACCTCCTCCAGGATAAATACTTTTTGGCCAAAGGCCGAAAGCTTCTGGGGGCCATAATCTTGTGCTCATCTGCTTTTGCAAAGAACAGGAGCCTGACTTCCCGCGAGATCACGGCGTCCAGAAGCTTCCAGGTTCTATGCGAAAAGTGTTTGCACATCAACAGAAGATTTGAAGCAACGTGATTTTGTTGCCCCAAACCTTCCTTCGGCGTGCAAATGCTTTTCCAAGTTGAGCTTGAAGCCTTTGGAGGAGAATCACCAAGGCTGCCTGCCACTCCAGAAGTGGCCGTCAGCCCGGTGAGTCAGAGAAACCAAGCAGGGCATGCTTGTCCTGCTCTCTTTCTGCTCTCACCAGGAGTAGACGAACAAACAGAGAGGCTGGAGAGGAAACAGATCTTCACAAGGTAAGTGACCCGGTGCAGCAGGATGGAGGGGAGCAATTGTGGGGACCCGAGGGGAGAGAGAATGAGGTATTTCAATGGGTCAGGGGAGGCCTTGGGTGGACTGAAGCAGATGGACTGTTCCATCACTAGCACCCCCCCATGTCCTTCCCCACCCTGAGATACCTCATGTTTACTTAAAGAGCTGCGCATTTGCCCACGCATTAAATTAGCGAATATGTGGGCAAAAGCAGGGAGTGATCGCGTTCAAGGTATGAGGTTCGCTCCTGTGAATCCTCGAGTTATGAATGGAATGGGTAGGCTCCATTATATTCTAACTCGAGGACTACCTGTATGTATTTAACATGTTTAAATCCATATTTTAAGCTGTGCATAAAATGGAGAAAATGTGAAAGAAGTTGGTCTATATTTGGAAATACAGAAAATCAAGAAATCAATTAATGTGTGAAAGAATAGAAATTTTTAATATAGCCAACCTTTCCATTTCAGAAGTCCATGAAAAGAATAATCAGAAACTGCTAATAATATTTTTGATACAGAAAATGAGATTGCTTAAATGGTGCTTCCTCAGACTAAACCTATATTCTGATTATTGATTCTTCTGTCCCACCTTTTGTGCAAATTAATGTTTTTGTATCTGTTCAGTCATCTAGTATACATGTTTCTATCTGTAACTGGATTTCTTTTTCTGTATACAATGTTAGTTTTTTGATTGATTGATTCATCTCAATAGACAGAAATGTAGAAATGGTTTTCTAGCCTTTGATCTTCTATCAAATACTAAAAACATGTATAGAAAATTGGGCATTTACTCTCTAATTATTCTCTGACCAAACTACTGTTTTTATATAAAATATAAACAATAAGTACTATTGAACATGAATTTGGGCAAACTCCAGCACGAGGGATAGTGTCCATGGGTTGTGAAGAGTCAGACAGGACTTAATCATTGAACAACAACAAAAACTATTTAAACAGTGTTAAATATTCCATAAATTTCAGTTATCCCAGGACATGTTAGGGGAACAATTAACTCTCTGTAATTTCCCCAAATGCTTTTAGAAAGGCTTGGATCTAGCATGTTTAGCCCTCTTATTGTTATTCAATGGATTCTTTTAAATTGAAAGGGTAAACAGATAAAATTGCTATAAATATTGTGCTACTTCTTTAGGAGACATTCAACATACAGTCATAAACATACTGTATGTTCCTGCTATTTTATCTATTGAGTCTTACATTAGAAACATGGTTTTCATGAAGTATTCAGTCATACAGATGCCAACAGCAATTCATTCAATGTTATTTTGCATTCATATACCGTGTTTCTTTGAAAGTAAGACCTATCCTGAAAATAAGCCTAGCTTGATTTTTGGGGGTGCGCCTAATATAAGCCCTATTCCAAAAATAAGCACTAGCTTTGGGGCAAGGGGGGGGGGAGATGCCCCATGTGCCCTGCACCCACTTACCTTGCAGTCAGGTCTCTCCCTACTGACCCATTTCTTCTGCTGCGTGCCCAGGCCTGCATTTCTCAGTCACAGGCCTTTCTGGAAGCCCTCTGCAGCCGAGAATCAAGCTAAGGACTCAGCTACAGTGGCCTTCCAGAAAGGCCTGACTGCAAAATACAGGCTGGAGCTCCATTCCCAGTTGCAGAATGAAGCTGCTCCTTCGGCCACAGAAACGGGCTGGCTGGGCAGAGCTATCAGTGCCGGAGGTGAGTGGAAAAGACTCCCCCCAAAATAAGACTTGGTACCTCTTTTGGAGGAAAAAAATAAGACCCAGTCTTATTTTCGGGGAAACAAGTTATTTATGCTTTGAAGAATGTCATGGTTAACAATGGCAACCAGGACTGCAGAGATTGCCATTCCTAAACAATGCAGTTGCACATTATGATTGTATATCCCTTAGTAATGAAAATTCTGGTTCTGAGTGCTCTCATAAGTTGAGGAATATAATTTTTCTATGCAGCTTTGAAGTCCAACTTTTGCTTCAGTAGAGCAGAGGTCCCCAACCTTTTGTGCACCAGGGACCGGTTCTGTGGAGAAAGGTTTTTCCGCGGATCGGAGAGTATGTGTTTTTGTGTGCTGCCTGCATTCCATGGATGGGGCTTTGCTTGTTTGTGGGGAACAGTTGCTGGCATGCCACGGCCTGGTACCAGTCCATGGATTGGGGGTTGGGGACCCCAGCAGTAGAATATGGCTTGCACAAATTTGACCTTAATAGGTATAGTCGTATCACTTGCATTTAAATATCTTTTCCAATACCTTTCATGGTAGCTCTACCGAATGTTAGTTTATGGCAATATTTCTTGACTGCTTGTTCCATCTACTGTTGATGATTGTTCCTAAAAGGGAGAAGTTATTCACCACTTCAATATCTTCATTGCCAATTCTAAGTTGGATTGTTGTCTTAGTTTAATATCTGGGATAGTGAACGTTATAAATCATATTCAATTTTTGATACCTGTGAATGTGGGCAAGCTGCTTGAAGTAATAAATTATACCATTTGTCATTGGGTTATTGCTCAAATTGACTTTTGATTTACAGGCAGGAATTTGCTTGATAAGACTTAATAAATATCATAAATGTTTCTTTAAGAGAATATTTACTTATTCTTTATGGGGGAATTTTTTGATATGAGAAAGGTAATGATATTGTTTTCTCAAACAGCAATGGAAGTTAGAACTATGCCTTCTAATTGTCAGCAGAATTTCCAGTTTGCAGTTTGCCTTTTGCTTGCCCTCGGTTGCCATAGTAATGGGGGAGGGGGCATCTGGTATTTGGGGTGGGGAAGTGAGCTGGTGTAAAGTGTTCCTGTGAGAATTGGGAGGATTGTTCCCCTTCAACGGAGTGGAGATGTTTAGACTTTACCAAGGTCAACCATCCTGGGCCTCTACAGCACACATCATCTGCTGAAGAGGGTTTCTCATAACATCATATTGGACATTGATTGGCCTGCTTGGGCTGGACCTTGGGGGGGAGGGCTGTGGGGAAGCATTCAGTATGTAATATTCATGCGGTTTTTATTCAGATCTTGCCTTGCTTTTGCTGCTATCAATTCATTCTTAATAAAAGTACCTCTTCTTTAAATCCATGGAGTTGGGGTTTTCTTTCTTAGGATTTGAACGGAGGCAGACCTGACATTAACGTTGTATTGACTCATTTCTGAAGCTTACCAGACATTTTCTTTTGTTTTCCTAGAGCTCAAAAGCTTCAAGAATCAAAGAATAAAACTATTGAAGATTCACTTCATCGGCGGGAGATTAATGTGAAGAACATTGAGGAGACCTATGACCAGAAGTTGAGGAATGAGCTGTTAAAGTAATATATTTGCTTGTGGTCTTTAGAGAATGTTTAAACATGTAGTCCTTTCTTAGTGACCATTTGTTTAGCAACTCTTCGAAGTTATGTTGGCGCTGAACAAAAGGTATTTACAGCCAATCCCTTAAGTTATGGCAGTTGCAGTGACTTTGAAATTACATGATCAAAATTTGAGTGTTGGCAGCTCACCCGCATTTATGACTGCAGAGTGCACTTCAACTCCTCCCCCTATCTCTGCCCTTTTTGGTGCCCTGCATTCCACTGACCCTGCTGTCCTGCCAACATGTCAACCTCCCTGTCCCCCCCATTGTCCCCAGCCGACATTTGCAATTGTCTTCCTTCTGATGTTGATACCTGGTGTGATCCTTCACAAGGTACAAAGATCCAGGACAGGTGTGCCTCATCACCTATGGGAGGAATAAGATGGTAAAGATTCAGCCAGGAGTCGCAGGAGAAGCAGAATGTATGGTGGGGTTCAGACATACGGGGTCAGCAGAGTGCAGGACAATAGAAATGGTAGAGTTCAAGATGGCCGAAAGGGCAGACATGGGGGTAGAAATAGGCGGGTGGGGGGAGTTGAAACAGACATGAGCATAGCAGAACAGGAGACGCATGAGGTCCTCATCTAATGACAGTGCAGTCCTGCCTAATGACCACAACCTAACTTCTTCAGGAACTTCAGAACAACTGAAACCGCCGTTGCTAAGTGATGCAATCACGTGATGTGTGCTTGCTAATCACATCATTAATGATGGAAATTCTGATCCCAGTTAGGATAATTCAGTAAGTAGTATCTGTATAGAAGAACATTCCGGCTCGTTAGGAGGACTGTCAATATACAGTGAGAGGGGAAAGTATTTGATCTCCTGCTGATTTTGTACATTTTCCCATTGACAAAGAAATGATAAGTCTACAATTTTAATAGTAGGTTTATTTTAACTGAGAGACAGAATAACAAAAAAAAAAAAAAATCCAGAAAAATGCATTTCAAAAAAGTTATAAATTGATTTGCATTTAATGAGTGAAATAAGTATTTGATCCCCTATCAATCAGCAAGATTTCTGGCTCTGTAAGGACCTGCCTCAATTAGATCTCCAAGGGAAGCATAACTCTTGAAACAGGCATTGTTTCAAAAGGAACTTTTATTGAGAGTTAGTACTAGCAGGAAAGCAAAGCAAGGTCTGAAGATTTCACGTGCAAAAGGTTACATCAAAATGCCCATTCAGGTCTCTCTCCTCCCCTCAATGTCCAACTGTCCATTTGAAATCCAGCCAATCCATAGATACTAGGTGGTTTTGAGAACCTAGTGATTTAGCACCCTTCTCAAGGTCTCTCTCAGTTTTGTTTCCCAATAGTCCCAGGCTCCATTGTCTGGAGATAAGACAGATGTTTTCAGGTCACATTCCTTTCACATGGAGGGAGGGCAAAGCAGAATAAGGCAAATACATTCCCCAATGAACAAGACCGCTCCCAACAGAGTGGCAGTCCCCAAAAATGAATACATAGGCACAAGCAGTAAACTGTAATCAAATCCATTTGAGGGGTTCTGACATAGAGCTCCCCTAATAGAATGACAGATCCACCTGTAAAACATAGAAAAGGAAAGGGGGGAAGAGAGGAAAACAAACATATCAATCAGGTTTATCGGGAGAGCGTTCATGAAAGCGTTTGAGCAACCTAGGAGTTGCTTCTTATAGACCCATTCATTCTGCGAAGCAGGAAGATCTTTCCAGGCAACTAAATACTGAGTGGACCCATGATGTTTACGAGAGTCTAGAATGTCCTTGATTTCAAAGTGCTGCTCACCCTCTACCATAATGGGCTGCAGGGTAAGGGCAGAGGCAGGCCTCAATGCAGAAGTAATCTCAGGTTTCAACAGACTGCAGTGGAAGACTGGGTGGATTTGTCGTAAAGTTTTAGAGAGTTCTAATTCCACAGTGATAGGATTTATAATATGTTTAATGGGAAAAGGACCGATATACCTCAGCCCTAACTTTTTGGATGGTTGCAACGACTGTAAGAACCTAATAGAGAGGTAGACCCTATCCCCTGTATGAAAGGGTTTAGACTGCATCCATTTTTTATCTGCCTGGACCTTATATGCTGTCCTGGCTTCATCCAGAGCTTTCCTAACAACAGGCCAAATGTTCTGCAATTGATATACCCATTCCTTGAGGGAAGGAATGGAAGGTTCATTAGCAGGCAATTCAGGCACAGGGAGAAAACTCTGTCCGTTAGCCACTTGGAAGGGAGTGAAACCAGTGTTGGAGTGCATTGCATTGTTATAGGCCACTTCAGCAAATGGTAACAAATCAGTCCAGTTATCTTGTTGATAATTAATAAAACATCTAAGGTATTGTTCTAGAACAGAGTTTGTTCGTTCTGTCCCCCCATTTGTTTGATGATGATAACTAGATGACAGTCCTCGATCAGAACCCAGAAGTTCCAGAAAGGCTTTCCAGAACTTAGAAGTGAATTGGACACCTCTATCCGATATTATGTGCTGTGGGGCCCCATGTAGTGGATAGATATACTGCATAAACAATTTAGCCAAAGTTTTTGCAGTCGGGATTTTCTGACACAGAATAAAATGGGCCTGTTTGGATAACAGTTCAGTAACAACTCAAATGACAGTGTTTCCTCTGCTTTGGGGAGCTCCACAATAAAGTCCATAGAAATCTCTCTCCAGTGTGCTGAAGGGCTCACCATCAGCTATAGGAGCCCCAGCATTTTACCTTGCCTTCGTTTAGCCACTGCACAGGTATGACAACTAGCCACATAACTTTCAATGTCCTTTGTTTAAAAAGGGCCACCAACTAGCCACATAACTTTCAATGTCCTTTTTTAAAGAGGGTCACTCTTTTAAGTAAGTGGAGGGTCTTCACAAACCCAAAGTGATCCCCTAACTTTGAGTCATGGTACATTGCATGATCTTTAGTCTCTGATTCACAGGAACATATAGCTTTCCACCAGCCCAGGCTAAACCATCTTGCACTGAACAGGTTTTTATGGGCCTGAACCACTCATCATTCTCCAGCACCGTTTTGAATTCCCCAACCACTTCATTATCTAACAGCAGAGAGCTCTTAGTCTGTGCTTTCGTCGTGACCAGGGCCGCCAGCTGGTGTGGGGAAAATAGAGGCTTAACTGGTCCCGACTTCATACTGTTATATTGCCGCATTCTTGACAGAGCATCTGCTAGGAAATTCTGTCCCCATGGCAAATAATGGATGGAGAAATTAAATCAGTGGAAATGCTGGGCCCAGCATGCCTGTTTTGGAGTCAACTTCCTGGAGGTTTTCAGTGCTTCAAGATTCTTATGATAAGTCCAGACCTGAAAAGTGATTTTACTCCCCTCTAAAAAGATGCCTCCAAGTTAGGAAAGCCCATTGTACTGCATTAGCTTCCTTCTCCCAAACAGCCCACTGTTGTTCAGTCTCAGTTAATTTGTTGGATGTGTAAGCACAGAGCTGCAACTGACCCCCTTAGTTCGTCTGAAGCAGTACCACACCTACCACTATATCACTAGCATCATCTTAAGTCACAAACGTTTTTTCCGGGTCCTGGTGCCTTAGCACTGGCTCTGCGGAAAAAAGTCTCTTAATGTTTGTAAATGCGGCTTGACATTCTGCAGTCCATTTTAACGACTGGCTAGGCTTTGGCTTACTTTCTCCCTTAGTTTTCAACAGATTTGTAATGGGGAGCGCAATCTGCACAAATGAGGGGATAAATTGTCTGTAAAAATTGGCAAACCCCAGAAAACTTTGTAACTGTTTTCTGGTGCAGGAAGGGGCCCAATCCAGGACAGCCCGCACCTTGTCTGGATCCATCTCTATCCCCTCATGAGAAATGCGGTAGCCCAAATAGTCAATGCTATCCTTATGAAATTCATTCTTTGAGACCGTTCTAACCAGTTTCATATGCTCTGCCATGGTTTCGCTGTAGATCAGGATATCACCAAAATCCCCTTATACAGATGTTCATGGAGGACTTCATTGATCAGTTGCATGAACACCTTTGGTGCCCCCTGTAGTCCAAAGGGGAGCACCCTGAACTGGAAACATCCCAGGGGGCAGTTGAAAGCAGTTTTCTATTCATCCCCTTCCTTGGTTCTGATACAATAGTAGGCCTCCTGCAGGTCCAACTTTGAAAAAAAAATTCCCTTTCAGCAGGTGAGCCAGCATATCTCTCACGAGGGGCAAAGGGTACAAATTCTCCACGGACACAGCTTTTAAACATGTATAATCGACGCGTATGCAAAAAACCCCTCCTTTTTCTCCCAAAATAGAGCAGGGATTGCCACCCAGGTTCTGGCTGGTTGAATGAATCCCAGGGCCAAGTTTTTATTGATTAACTTGCATAGCTCATCTAATTCCCTGGGAGTCATGGAATATAGCTTTGATTTTGGTAGCTTGGTCCCTGGGTTTATCTCAATTGCATAGTCCGTAGGTTGGTGAAGGGGAAGCTCGTCTGACCTCTTCTCATTGAAAACCTCGGCCAGGTCACAATATTCTTTTGGGATGCTCTGCAGCTCTTGCTCGCTCAAGGAAGATGCCAATTCCTGCTTCAAGCCCTCTACTTTATAACTACACATATTTTGGGTAGGGGTTCTCTTCTTTGGGACTTTTAATCGCCCCCTGTCCAATTGATAAGGGGGTTCCACTTCTTTAACCAGGTTAGTCCAAGGACAAGAGGCCACTCCATACTGGGAGCCACGATGAAAGCTAATGTCTCTGAATGGCTTCCCATGGTTAGTCCCAAGGGCTCAGTGACAAAGCTTGCCGGGATGCCCCCTGTCACGGACCCATTGAGCTGACAGGAAGTGATTGGGTCTTTGAGTTTCTTTAGCAGAGCCCCCAGTTTTCTAACTAGGTTTGGGCTTATTAGGCACTAGGTGCATCCTGAGTTTAACAATGCCGTGAGGGCCATTCTGCCCACATCTGGGATCGACAATTCTCATGGACATGGTTATGGGATCAATCAGCCCACTTTCCAGGGGA